ATAATAATAACGAAAGATAAGTGTGTGTTGATATGGTTCTTTTATTTTCTTAGTGTGTAAGATTGCTTTTTTTTTTAAATAAAATAGTGTTGAGTGTGGCGCGTGTGCCTCGATTTTTGTTTTGTATAAAGAAAAGGCGCTCCTGACAAGTTAAAATTGTGACTAAAAATATTTTTAAAACTACCAAATTTGAACGTTTTAGCAATTTTCATGTGGCAAAAGCACGCACGCCACACTACGCCGCCTTATTTAGTAACTACTAGGTTTAAACGTCTCTTGACTTCGCTTAGATCGCTTCTATCACTTTGTATGTAAAAATAGTTCCTATTATTATGTTACGAGTAAACATTAAAGGTTTTCTTTTAACTTAGACTGACACAGGAATCGTATTTGCATAGATAATCGTCGTAACTACACAGAGTAATGTCAAGTGGCTTAAGTAATTTTAAGCTTATATAGCCATAGTCTATAATGTGGTTCTCTAATTTCATGATTTTTTTTTGTTTTGTGCACGTTAGGGTTGACTTGTTTGATCAGTTTTCAGTTATAATACAAATTGGACGACACTCAAATGAGAAACTGTATAGCCAACACCTTTCGTAGGTAGCTTAATTCAAAATATGGTAGAAAAACAATTGGTGATTGTACATAAATTAGCGCCTGAATATTGTTTTGTTTTTATTAAATCTGATCTTTCACACCGGATGTTTATAAAAATCGACTGACGATTTCTGTGTCACAAAAATATTCAAATATCGTGTAATTTGGACCGTCCCGTTACAGATTTAATTTGTAAGCCGAGATAATTTAAGAATTCTTATATTTTGTGACACTGAAGCGATCGGGAGCACTAAAATACGCTGCCACGTGCTCACACGTGTTGTTTCGAAATTTATTTTTTGGTACAAGCAATGAACGAATCACGTAAAGCACCTATTTTTATACTTAAATGAAATGTACTTGTAATAAAAACGATTTAAAAAAATTGGCTTGTTATTAATTAAATGTAAATTAGTACATAATTGTTGTGGTGATTTTAAATTTTGAATTAATAATGAAAATGGAAAAAGAAGTTAAGTTATTATAATTTACTACCATGTTGGAAAATCTTCACTTTAAATTTAAAAAAAAAATGTATATTACGCAGTTATGATGCGATGGAATCGAGTGAAATAGAAATTTTAAACAATTATATACCCTATATGAATTAGAAGAAAATTACAACAATTTTTATACCGGGAAACTAAAATTTCTTATTCGTAGATAAAACAGTTTTTTTTATAACCCTTGATGGAATACGCACGTGTAAGGACGTGTCAGTGCATTGACGTTTTATTAGGAATTATTGTTAAGTTTACATAAGTTACTACGTCAGTTGCAATTTTTTTTCGAAAGTACGCCAAAGGAGACAAGAATGTGCTAGAAGAAACATAAAATGTAGAATTACTGTATAAATTGAAAAAAATATTACAAAAAAATATCTTTCTATTATTTTATAAGTGGTATAAAAAATGGAGAATGCGCGAGTTCGTATTTTTCCGATGGAGTCATATAGCATATACTAAAAGCCATCGGGGATATTAAAATTAATAAATCGAAAGAAACGTGCTATCTTGCTCTAATAAACACTCGATAATGCTTCTATCCCTTTTTAGCAGCTTTTATAGTAGTCGTTTAGTATATGCTATAGGATTTTTTTTGTTGTTCATTTGTCAGATTTCGGTGAAAATATGCGATAAAAAAATGATTATAAAAATTGGTTGTTGTATAATAGAGCGAGTAGTATGATAATGGTAGTCAGTAATTAGGTATATTCTTTGGAATAAATTAAAATTAAGAATGTTTTTTAAGCTTGTCGGCGTCGGTGGGTGCGTTCGCAAGTTTCGTGTTAATTTATTGTGAGAATTGTGAGGTGTATGTTTTCTTGTATATTTTCACAATGGTCGAGCGCTTCTGTTCAACTAAGTCCTGACTAACGTCGAACGCAGTCGACTGACGCCATTTAAGGCTGTAAGTTATATTATATACATATTATATTGATAAATAAATTAATAATAAAAACATTGAGTAATTTTATTTCGTACCCATTGATACTGATACAAGAATTTTTAGGGCTTAACCGTAATAATCAATCTCAAATAATATTTACACAATTTAACATAATTTATAGTTAATTGTGTAAATATTATTTGCGATTACCAACTTACATTTGCAGTTATCCATTACAGCCTATAAAAGTCCACTGCTGAACATAGGTCTCATCTGGCCTCAGGTGAAATTACGCCATATTCGCCACGCTTGGCGGGATGGTTGGCAACTCTGTCGCCTCTTAAACTAACCATGGAACGATATGTGATGGAGGATATTCCACCGCCATTACATGATGTATGGGAAAATATTTATTTTACTGCAAAGTTAAGTTGGCCTTCAAAATCCGACTGAATAATGTTCCTTCATGTAATTCCGGTACTTGATGAACTATCCACATAAATATGTAATTAAGTTTAGATGGAACCCTCAAGTCCTAATTACACTTATCCAGTATTTTTTAGCCCGAGTATTGAACAAACGGGTATTGTAAAATTTTAAATTTAAATGTGACCATATGAATGTGAAAGTCACATTCATACCCAAACCAGGTAAGAGCGACTATACAGACTCTAAATCTTACAGAACTATTAGCCTCACATCCTTTCTAAAGACAATGGAGAGGATGTGTGAAAGGGAATTAAGGAGGTCTGCGCTAATGAACTTACCGCTACACGACAAAGAACACGCCTACAGCTTAGGTAAATCGACAGAATCAGCACTTCACCAGGTAATAACAAAGATTGAAGAGGCCATCCAAAACAAAGTAATATGTCTAGGTTCCTTCATAGATATAGGTGCTTTTGACAGAATAAACTTCTCCTGCATAAAAAGTGCACTCAGTAGCATAAAGTGAAACCGGCAATGATTAACTGGACAGTAAACAGGCTCAGATCTAGAAAGGCTGCCCACAGGGTGGTGTTCTTTCACCTCTCCTGTGGAATATGGTGATAAATGAACTCATCAGCAAATTAAATGCCAATCATTTCTACACAGTAGATTATGCTGATGACCTGACAATACTGGTCTCTGGAAAGACAGCAAGCATGGTGTGCGACCTGACCCAAGCGGCTCTCCATATAGTGGAGAGATGGTGCAGGGAATACGACTTCACCGTCAATCCAAATAAAACGGTTCTAGTAATGTTTACACAAAAACGAATGCTGTATAACTATCATCTCCCAAGTCTTTTCAGCTCAAAACTCCAGCTATCCTCTGAGGTAAAATTTTAGGTCTTACCTTTGACAGTAAATTCAACTGGTATAAACAAAATCAACCAAGCTAGTATAATGTTCTGGCAATGCAGAAACATGATTGGCAAAAGATGGGGTCTGACGCAAAAAATCATACTGTGGCTCTATACAAAACTGTAATCCGGCCCATGATCACATACGGCACTGGTATGGTGGACCAAAACAAATGAAGCCACCTGTTTACGCCCGAACGCTGGTTTCGGAATCGACGTCAGAGGGCGCTCGGCTCGGCGCCATACCGGTTTGACATTCGGTCGTGCGGCGTAAAATAGGAGTCGTCTGCCAGCTGTGCTTGGGACAGCACGCTGTAATTTTTGTCGGGAACTCGGAATAATTAGGAGCGTCTAGTAAATATACTGTCTGGGATTTGTAACGCGCATTCCTTGCTGGAGAGCTTCCCCGGGACTCATTGTATCTGACTCAGAATCTGTATAAGTGCATTCGACAATATTAGCTAGTGCGGCCTTTGATATTCTAGAAATAACTGTTGCTACGCGAAACGGTACTGACCTTTGATCCGGACACTCCGTGTTCATTTTGTGCGTTAACCTTATAACAACTGAGAGTTAGTGGCTTCTGTAAGTTAGTTAATCGTACGATAGAGTTAATGGACTGTCATCGTGACGAACGAAGAAAGTGACTGTGGACGGCGCCGCGGAAGATTACCTCAATTTGGAGCGATGCAGACGTACCGGGCTGCTGCCGACGGCAAAGGTCTAATAAGGTCAATCACCACCAGTCACACCCAGATACACATCACAGCACCTTATTTCCCTTGCACCACACAACCACATGCGACCTGACCGAATCCTGAGGGACCAGTCGCCTTGGATATAGGTAAGTAAGCTTCGTTTAATATTCTCCCTGTTGAATGGCAGTAGTATAGAACGCTCCCCCTTATTGTTTAGTGTAATTAGAGATTTTCCACTTTGGCCTTAGGAGGCCCGACCTATATCTGCTTGTAAGGTCTTCCGCTATGGGCCCGGAAGATTCTACTCTTATTTAGGCAGCTGTAGGCCGTAACACCACCACTATAAAGAAGCTTCAGCATTACTAGAGACTCGCATGTATGTATACTGGCTACCACAGGCTGCATAAGAACAGCAGCTTTAGAGGTGATGCTGGAGCTAACCCCGCTTCACCTACACATACAACAAGAAGCGACTTTAGCTGCCATGAGACTCAAGATCCTAAATCTTTGGAGTAAGAATAGTGTCCCTCATACAGGCATAATTGATAGAATTCACTCAAAAATTCCTATCTTACAAGCCAAGTACCAAAACCAAACCAAACCAACAGCAGCATAGCTGGACATGATTCTGTACTTGCACAACAGAATTACCACAACAGACAGAATCACAGACAGCTAGTTGCCTGCAACATACTTTATACTGCCCAAATGATGCTGGTAGTTTTGCGTTTTACCCTCATTCTCATCACTAGTAACATTTTACTGTTTTAAGTTCCCTGACTGAAGTATGAGCAGCATACATTTAAGCATTTATTTACAAAGGCTACCTGGCATAAAATACTATAATTCCTATTTAGTGTGCAATATCAGCACCATCTATTAGCAATTATCATTAATCAATTTAGTATCTTTGGTAATAAAAATATGTTAACTGTGTACAAACTATCATATATTTAACACTAAAAACATTATGTTACTTTCTTTTCTGGCAACCCCAATAGCTTTCTAACAGATGAACCATAGGTTTTCAATGTGGCATCGCATTCACCATCATTCATCAAGCTATTTACTGCATTCTTATAACCTTCTGCATTTGGAATCTTAGAAATATCAAAGTTCTTGTATTCCTCATCTGTTAATTCTTTTTCTTCATTATTGCACTTTAAAAACCAGTTAACCAGACTCCTCTTGGATGCGTTATTATTCCAATCGTAATATTCCATGTCCTCTTCAGTTTTTTCACTCTCCCAGTCTTCAACACTCCATGATTCGTGATAGCAAGCTGTCAGTAAATAGTTTACATAGTCTAAATTTTGCTTTCTCATTGGACAACGGTCAGCAATAAAGGTCACTAAATCAGTTTTCTCATCATAACGGTCACCAATCAATCTGAGGAACTTATCCCTTGCACGTTTGTCCAAATTTAATGACGACAACTTGATTCTTAAATTCACTACTCTAGCCAAGGGATTCCGGATGGTAGGACTGGCATGACAATAATCTGATGAGATAATTTCTAAAGGATAGTGCTTTTCTATAGTTTCCTCGGAATTCAGTAACTTTGGCCATTCTGTACAGTACTTTTTTATAGCCTCGCACTGTGTCTTAATAACTGGTGGTGTGAGATGAAGGAAGTTGGGTATTTTCATAAGCTCAGCATTTGCTTTCTTCCCTGGTGGTGCTTGCCCTTTAGGAACATAACCTTGTCGTATTGGCAGTGGCACAGATGAAGGGTGAAAGGTTTTAGGTCCAGGCCACACATTGCCCCAATTCTGAAATGAAAAGATAAAAAACTTATTAAGTCATGTACATTTTGTTAAATAGCCAAGTGTTAGTACAGAAGTAAACAACAGTAAAATATTATACAGTAATACAACATTTTTTTTAATAGAATGCATGCATGGCTTCCAATGATCACAGAATACCAGCGTAAAATAGCAGCTTAACACTGTTGTGTTCATATGGTGAGTATAGAGAACTGGAGACTCGTTCTCTGAGGCATTCCATCTTAAAGCATTTGCATTTTGATTCGCAAACATACTTTTATGCAGATGTCTATGTGCCACTTACCATCAGGTGGACTGTGTGCTCATTTGTCACTCTGAAAAAAGTGATAAGTGACTAACATTTCTTACGGACAATTGCAACACCAGAGAAATTCAGGTGTGTTGTCTACCTTTTATAAGGAGTAGTCTCTATTCTTCCAAAATTATCACTAGAAATAATTTTATGTTGCCAAGAAAATGTGCATGATTATTATTGTGTAGAGAATGGCGGTAGTAAAAGAGTGACCCAATACTACTAACAAGTACTAGTTACTACTAATACAATAAAAAAGTTGAATAAAAGACTAGTTTAGCATCAAAAGTAAGATCCTCATTAAAGTTCGATCTTTATATCAATTGTAGGCTTTGTATAGTTGAGGATTGAGGTTTAAAACCTACCCTTCTTTAAAATAAAACAAAATAGAAAAACAGCGTATTTTTCTCACCTGATCAGTAGCCATTCTATCAGCCCTATCTGGCTGTATATCTGCCCTACGAATCTGTTTCTTTTGCTGTCTATCTTTTTTCTTCAATATGTCAAGAACACGGAATTCCTCATCCTCCTCTTTTCTTATTGATTCCGCTGTAGTGGAATTAAATCGCCATAAAACTTGTACATTGAATACTGCCCCAAGACTGCCCGGCTTAGAATACTTTATAAAAACACTCATGTTTGCACTAATATTAATACTTTATATATAGAGGTAATTAGTTTTGGCGACCCATTTTATCATTTTAGGTTAAGAGTTAAGACCATAGATATTTCTGTTTTCTGTTGTAATTATAATGTAGTGATGGGTCAACTCGAGAAAACTCGAGTTGCGCTTAACTCGAGTTGGATCTTTCTAACTCGAGTTTGGGCTGCTGTGCAAGAACGGATCAAGTCAAGTGAGCCACTAAAACGGTAAGAGCGCGATTCGCCGATTCGTTCGTTGTGTGCGCACTTTGTGTTTTAAAGAGTAGTTAACTACAATCAAAACAATTTGTTATTTAGAATTTTATATTAGGTAAGTTATGTAATTTAATTTTTTATAATTTTGATTAATTATGATCAATATAGGTATGTAAGTCACAGGCGTAATATTATTGTGATACCCGAAAAAGGTAGTGAAGTTGTAAGGTACATCATATTTTAAATTAACTCTAAATGTAATACTTAATTTACAATAAATATTTTGAATTTGAAAAAATTTGAATTTATTTAAGAATGTCTTGACTGTGATAATTAAATTATTAATAGCTTATATACCTCTAAAAGCTAGACTAATATTGTTTCGTGAAGGCTGCTATATAGGTAGTTTTGTTATTAACAGTGTGACCGTCTTTAAAATGCAGATCCTGCTTTACTTTGTTTAAAAACCTGCCAAATCCCGCCAAAATCTGTAGTAAAAATGCCTAAATACTGCCAAATTTATTTACCATTGTATTAAACCAAGAAAAGTCAAAATACACATATAAATGCTATATATTTTTAAATTAAAATTAAACATATCTTTCGTTGGTTCGAATCCAATGCAATCGCCATGCTCACCAATGCCTTCTTTAACGTACAAGATAGACGCTAAATGTTTTTTTATAAATCTGTTTCGTGTTTTTGTCTTAAAAGCTTTTAGAAAAATTTACTTCGCAAATATCCGAAGTAAATTTTTCTGAAAGATAAAATGTATTTCCGCAAAGTAACGCCTGATTCTATTAATTATCTTAGTTAATTTATTTGAGAGAATATTCTTTCGCATGTTGAATACACTCATTTTTTTTTATGTTTTCTAGTAGCAGCATGCTCCTTTAAAGCAAACAGTCGGGGTGCCAATTTGCAGTTACACATCTGGATCATCTTTAGCTTTGGAGATCTATGATGAAAGTAAAAGATCTTGCTCCCATTCGCTCTATACTCCCTTTCATATTTTCGCTTCATCACCGCCACCTATAATTACTATCGTCCATGAAATATTATTAACAAGATGTTATCACCATGAAATCTTATGCGATACCAAACTAAACTCTGTTTTATGACTGATAGAAATATTATCCAACTCATGTTAATACTATCAACTTTATACACAATTTTTTTTAAAGTTGTTTATTGAATGTTATACAAACATAATACGAGAAATGGAGAAATACAGGGAAATCCCCAACATGCTGGCGAAGTATCTAGGGTTGCCATTTTCTTCATTGTAAGTTGCCATAATGAAATATTTTTTTAATACGCGATCATGCCAGAGGTTAAAATAAGAGGCCAATCCTGCCAAAATGGCAGGAACCTGCCACGTATGGTCACACTGGTTATTAAATACAGGTACTTACTATAACTAAGATTAAAACCAAAAACATGTAAATATGTGATACATACTAAATATACCTTTTTATTTTAATCCTACATAATAACTTTGTTATTTATAGTTATGCCAACCCAGCAAATGGCTAGATAGAAAAATAAAATTTATAAAAAAGTAATTCGTAACAAATTATTTACACTGATATTCTGTAAGAGCGTGGTCCTTCCCCGGGCAAGCCGTCCCCCGTCCCATTCGTGCTACAACCTTAATATAGCTGCTATATTTCTTTTATTTACCATAATATGGCATAAATGGGAACGCATGGCGTGTCCATTTTAGATGTCTGTTGGTGGGCTGCGGCGAGTGAGTGTCCTCTCCCACAACCGCAGCAGTCACGGTGGAGTTGTGGGGAAGAGGAGTGTTGGTATATCGATGCACTACCTGCGAGGAGACGGAAGTATCGGAATTATGATACGCTTCTCTCTTTAACTTCACCCGACCTAAACTTGATCGGCGGCGGAGTAATCGACCCGATCTCCCGTTGAGGTCGGGAAAGCTCGTACTTCAGATTGCTCGCTTTCCCATTTTTTTTCTCATTGACCCCATAGCCTCCGCGTATCGGACACAGCGGGTGTCTATTGCGCAGGTAGAGTTAGAAGCCTTGGAGGAAGGCGCATCTGGTGTTCTGGTGCGTCTTACCTAAGAAGGAGTAGGGGTAATACAAGTCCTCTCCCGAGGTACAAATCATAGTTACTTTAATGGACAATTCTTTAAAATAAAGGGGAATGAAATAAGACGAAAGCTGTGGTTATTGAAAGAATAGAAAGTAAAACGATATGTAAAATAAGAATAGAAGGGAAGTTGATGGGCAAGTAAATGAGTTTATGTATTTAGGACGTGTGCTCAACAGTAATGGTACACATGTAAATATGCCAAGGATATGGAACAAAGAGTGAATGCATGACATGGAGTACCTGAATAAAGTTCTTCACTCTTATTGGAAAGTCAAAATGAATTTAAAAGGCACGCACGGCAATTCAAAATCCCGTGTTAGCCCCTACCTTAATATGGTAGTAGAAGTTTTGTTTGGCAAAAGAAACATGAGAATAAAATTATTCTGTAGGAATGTGGTAGTTAAGGGATAGGGGTCACTGAGTGTGGTTTGCTATGTTCAAACTTGCACAAGTTTGCAAAATGATGTTGTGACCTGGTTTAAGAAAGGAGTGCTTCGGTGGTTGAGACAAATAAAAAGAATGAATAAAGAAAGAGTGATAAATCAAAATTATGCTGCAGAAGTAAGTTACAGTCGGGAAGGGACTAAATAGAAGAAGTTTATTGACCATATTGGCGATATAATATCCTCCAGACCGGTCAATTTCGATCACGGCGGCCAGCCTCAACGGAGACTACCATTAGAGCAGGACAGGATTATAGTGCCCAAGGCAATAGAGAGTGCACCTGTGCTTGCGCATACAAGCACAGGTGCACTCTCTATTGCCTCACTCTCATAGTCCGATGGGACAGTACACTGACACGAACGGAGAGAGATCAGGCGCAGGACCAACGGCTTTACGTGCTTTCCGAGGCACGGGGGTGAGACACTGCCAACTGACGGACTCCGGGCAGCTACTGAGAATATCTTGACGGAGAAACTCATAAATGTTTTTTTTTGGTCCGACCCAGGATTCCAACCCTGGACTTCATGTTCAGTAGTCATACTACTGCTACAACTAGTACAACGAGGCGATCACGATCTATTGTATGAGTAACATTAGGTGTATACTAACCAATGAGAATTTATGCGTAGATCTATTGATTGAACATGATAATATGGATGTGAAAAGAGTGGTGTGTCAGGATCGTACTAAATGAAAGTCCGTGGTCTCTGCGTACCTTTGGGTAACAGGCGTGGGATTTTAAGAATATTTATGTATGTATTTTACACATAAAAAAAATCTTTCACACTCAGTATATAACTTTAATAAAATTTCGCAATAAAAATAAAATTTCCAATTCGCAGTTTATATGTTTCAGCCGATAAATAAATAATTCACTTGAAATAATATTTTTAATCGTGTTCGAGTTTGTGGTCGAAATGTTGTTGATAGGATTGACGTTTTTTTATCTTACAAATTCAGTGTACTGTGACGGTAATATTCTCTATTGTTCTTAGATTGATAATTTAATTTATGTAATTTTATAAGGACACAAGCCCGCAGCCGCGCCGGCTCTTGTCTTAATTGCAGGGAACTTATGTTCGTCACCCTTTAAAGATTAAGTATTAAACACTTTTTGGGTGGTAGAACCATGCTGTAGCTATATTACTGGTACAGTTATAGCACGAATGGATCGGCTCGACCGGGGAAGGACCATGCTCTCACAGAATATACCAGCGTAAAATAGCAGCTTAACAACGCTGGTATGTTTCGTATGGTGAGTGTAGAGAACCGGAGACCCTTTTTTAATGGAAACGAGGCATTCCATCTTAGTCATCACGGGTGACAACGCATTTGCATTTTGATTCGTAATCGAGGTTAGATGTCTATGGGTCACAGCAACCACTTACCATCAGGTGGACCGTGTGCTCGTTTGTCACCAAAGACATTTAAGTTAGTATACCTATATATTTAAATATCTTTGTTTGTCACACTATCCTATAAAAAAAAGTTCCATAAGAAAAACTTCCTTTTATGATTGGATGCAGCCAAAATTTTAATATACCAAACTCCTGGATAATATATATGGTAAAGCCAATAATCACCTGTAGGGGCGAGTTTTTGGTTGAAATGTTGATGGTAGTGTTACGAGCTTGGGGTTCGAGACAGTTAAAAACTGCCCAGTGAATTACCAAAATTGACACTTTAATTACAGAACACTAATTACAACGATTCCCCTGGTGTTGCAGTTGTTCATGGGCGGCGGTAGTCACTTACCATCAGGTGAGCCGCATGCTCGTTTGCCCCCTCTCCTATAAAAAAAAAAAAACACTAATAACAAAACACAATTGTACTACTGATCACTTTAGTTCGCAATTGTATCGCTTCGAAGTATTCGCTTGTATCGCCAACTCAACACTGACTGAGCCTTATCTATACAAGATAATTTCCAGAACCTTCTACTGTAGAAAAATTTAGAATGTTCGAGTACATACCGGTCCCAACTGACTAGGTGTCGATAGTTTAAGAAAGTTTTTCAATGGAAAATTCTAGAAGGATCTTGACTCTCCTAGTTTTGTTACTCGATATTACAGGGCGCATGTGGTAACTAGTGTTGCCATGTACTTGCCATGTTTTGCTCAACAGTAGGATTAACGCTTTTTTACTTTACAGATACGGGTATTATCAACGCTGCGATAGAGAATTATATTGATACGGACGGTAATATTCTCTATTGTTCTTAGATTGATAATTTTATTTAGGTAATTTTTTAAGGACACAAGCCCACCGCCGGCTCTTGTCTTAATAGCAGGGAACTTTTGTTCGTCACCATTCAATTATGAAGTATTAAACAGTTTCATAAGAAAACCTTTCCTTTATTATTGGATACACCCATAATTTTAAAATAGCAAACTCCTGGATATTATACATGGTAAAGCCAATGTTACCCTGTAGTGGCGGTCATATCATCTCGTGTGTGTTTTAAGAGACGACAAAGGGAAACAAATCAGGAGATGGGCAGCAGCGTCTTCATAATAATGACTAAAAATAAAAAAAACTGCGGTTGCCAACCCACTTGCCAAGCGTAGCAATTATGGCACATATCCCCCTTATGAGATAATCTATGGGGGAGGCCAATGTTGCGCCAAGCAGTGGACTTTTATAGGCTGTAATGGATGGATGTATAGGAGATAATCTACCAGGAGCACATGACCCGCTGAGAGGTGAAATTATTAAATTAACAGTAACATTACAACTATGGCAAATAATCTCCCTATGAGGCAATCTATGAGGGAGGCCTATGTTAAGAAGTGTACTTTAATAGGTTGTGACGGTAACGGTTAGCCACGTTCGCACAGAATACCAGCGTAAAATGGCAGCATATTGCGATAATCAGATACCCTTTATACTCGGAACGATGCCCCTTTATTCCTTTTTCCTTCTCAAGAATATGTTGATGTTATTTGCATATAGCACAATGTAGTTCATAGCTGCTCTTGTGCAATGTTTAAAGAATGTGTCAATTTATCAAATCAAATCATTTATTTGCAATTCAAGTGTACATAATTGGTGTTAAATTAAAAATGTGCTTACATCTTGCGTCCTTGTCAGGCACTGTAAATTTGACAAGAACACTGCATAAACATAAAATATAAAATATGCTTAGAACTAGCTTCTAATAAATATAAAAAAATACCTAATACCTTATTATACCAGGTTAGTTTTTGTTATCGAAATACTCCTCCACTGAGTAGAAGGGATTTTGATTTAAATATTTACTGAGGCTTGATTGAAATTTGGTTAATACTGCTATGTTTTTTTTTATTTCCTGGGGTAATTTATTGTAATTTTTTATTTACATATAATAGGTATAATTTATTTACTGTGTCAACAAGCAAGGATTCCTTGATAAATGAAGTAATCCACTGACGTTAACTCGATATGGAGTGAAACACGAATTCTGTTTTCTTCTAACTGGAAACTGCTAAAATATTTCACTGTCACTGGTTTGGGCTTGAACGAACTGGCCTTAGAAATGAAAAAAGAAAGAGAAATGATTTTTAAAATGCTAACGTCATCAGATAGGTAACGGTTAGCCAAGAATGTTAGGACGTGAATAGTCTTTTATTAAATATTTTTTGCAGTTATCAAAACACACCATTACGTACTTTGGCCCGACGCCGTCGTGTCTTTCTACATCGATCCGGAGCACTTCGGTAAGTAACTTTTTTTTTGTGTTTTGGAAACTTCTTTAGCGTTGTTGAGACATGACATAGAGAGAATGGACTGTGCGTTCCGTATTCAATTGTACAGTGAATACAGACCAAAAAGTGCGAGAGAGACAAAGCGAATATGCGGCCAGCGGTAGCCTCTTTCTAGAATTCTCATTGGTCCACGTCACTGGCTTACCGAACGTGGACCAATCAGGCTTGCTGGAAAGAGGCAGGTATTGGCCGCATAGTCGCTTTGTCTCTTTCTAGAGAATGCTCACTTTTGTGAGGCTAACGCTCAGTACTTTCTCTATGTCTATGTTGATTTGAAACCGAATGAAACGAAAAAGCAACAATAAAAAGAGACAAACGTAGGTGTACACGTATAGGATTTAGCCTGCGAAATAATGAGGTAGAATACAGTGTAGTAAACGACATTAGTCTAATGGCAAGGCACTGAAATCCGAATCCGCCATTTTTTTTTAATTTTAATCTTACTAATAGTTGTTATAGGGAATTTTAGTAATGTTACTAGCATTGCTAGTATATTTTTGAAACAGTATTTACTATTTTCTATCTCTTCTTTGTGCTATATTTTAAAGATGGTCAATATAAATTTTAACTGTTAAAATAAACAGTTAAAAAAATTAACAAACTTATTGAACAAATGAAATTAACCATCTAGTATATACATACAGTAATCTATGTTAACCATATTAAATAAAATTATCATAATATACCAATCCATCTAGCGTCTATTGTGCGTACCACCTTGAGAGTTAATCAAATTTTGTACGATAAACAGGCTTTACCTTTAGAATGAAGTAGATGGCACTTGTAATAAGCAATTTTATTTGAAATAAAATATTCTTTTGATTTATTATACTAAAATTAAGTCTAGAAATAAGGATTATAACATTCATTTTCTATAAAATTGAACTTTTATCTTATATTTTATGCCGCACTTGTGATTGAAAATGATCATACTAAATAAATCATTTACCGTGAAATATTTTTATTTTATATTTCATTTCATTTGAAGGTTTCACTTGTACCGTGTGTGAACTGCACACATTATTTTTTAAATAAAAATTTCTCCTGTATCGTGGGGGCAGTTTACATAGATAAATTTCATAATAGAAAACATCTGCTTCTGCGTATCAATGATATAGCAAACCGGTAACATTCATTGCTATGCGGATGACAGCACTGGTGATGCTCTATACACCGGCCGTGCCAATATTTCTCGGGCAAACGTCGCCGAGTACCGGAACAAACTTGTGTCTAAAGTCGACCTTTTCTGAACAAAGTCTCGGATGGGGGGCGACTAAATCTATTCCATTTTAATTCTCAGAAGACACAAGTTTGCGCGTTTAGCGCTGAAAGGAATCCCTTTGTCGTATCTCCTCAGTTTCAAGGCACTTCCCTTGTTGCCTCAGCCAGTATCGTAATCCTCGTCGTCGACGTCCAGTTTAGTGGTCACGTGGAAGAGAAGGCCAAATTGGCATCTAAAAAGCTTGGTGTGCTCAGCAGAGCGGGACAGTATTTCATGCCGGTACACCGCCTTTACGAGGCGCAGGTTCGGCCTCACATGGAATACTGTTCCCATCTCTGGGCAGGGGCTCCCCAGTCCTAGCCCCTTCCACTTGACTGCATCCAGCACAGAGCGGCTCGAATCGTCGACTGCCGAGTCCTTTTCGATCGACTCGATTCAATGGCGCTGCGAAGAGATGTTACATCTCTTTGCGTATATTATCGCATCTTCCACGGGGAGCCTCTAAGCAATTGTTCGGACTGATTCCAGCCGCTCAATTTCACCATCGCACATCGCGACAAAACTCGCGATACCATCCATACCACCTAGACGATTGGCGGTCCACCACTGTGCAATTTAGAAAAAGTTCTCTTTCTCGCACAACATCCTTGTGGAATCGAATTACCACCAGCGATTTTTCTGGACCGATGCGACTTAGGGACCTTCAAGAAAAAAGCCTACTCCTTTTTAAAAGGCCGGCAACGCATCTGCAATTCCCCTGATGTTGCAGTTGTTCATGGGCGGCGGTAGTCACTTACCATCAGGTGAGCCGCATGCTCGTTTGCCCCTTCTCCTATAAAAAACCTGTATGGCATTGCAAAATATCGTATCATGTTTCTTATTTTTGCTAGATAATGAACAGTCCGCAGCCATTACGACATATCTGAACCTTTTATCGTACAAAACGTGTCTCAAGTTCTCGGCAAATACCGAACGGCCCACGGGTTCCCAGCATGTGATGTTATTCGAAAATCCTAAGGGAATCAGAAAATGTGTGTTCAACACCGGGGGGCACTCACCGGAAGAGCCGCATGTAAGTTCTTTAAAAAAAAGTAAAGTAACTTTTTTAATTTTTTTTTTAAATTGTCTGCTATTTACATTTTTATTATATGTATAGATAATTTCAAAGTATTTTATTTTTTTATTTGGTTCTAAGTGGGAGTGAATTATATTTTCGATGTTGATTATGATTCGATGGATGTTGATAGCCACACCCATTTTTTTAATAGGTTAAAGGGTGACAAACGGGCACACAGTCCACCTACCCTCGTTTTGCGAATCAAAATGCAGATGCGTCGTCAGCCGTGAGGACTAAGATGGAATGCCTCTATCCCAATAAAAAGGGTCTCTGGTTCTCTACACTCACCATACGAAACGCAGTAGCATTAAGGTACAATTCCGTAGCCGACCGCAGGCAGCAACAGCAGGCGACGTGTCGTTGCGACATGTTGCTGCGACATATCGTCGCGTCATGTCGCTGCAGTCATGACTCCGAACCCGACTGCAGGCGGCAGCAGATATTTTTTCAAATATTATCTTTTGTCACACTGTCTAAATAATTATTGTGAGATGCATCGTACAGTGCGGGATATTGGGCCACCTGGTTTATCAGTTTCTCTTCCACGGAAACGGTGAAACTCATTTTCTGCAAACCAAAAACAACTTGCAAAAAGGAGACGGTACTCAATTCGAATGTATGTTTTTTTTAATGTGTGTTACCTCATAACTTTTTACTGGGTCAACCGATTTGGATGATTCTTTTTTTATTTGAAAGCTGGTACTTCTCGTTTATTTATGGTACTCTCACTTAATTTGATCAAGGTTAGACCAATAGTTTTTGAGCTATTCTTAATAACTCGTATTGAAGTCGACTGTACAAAATTTTTAATTTTAAATTATTTGAGACAAATTCAACGTGTCGCTCGGGTGTTGGCGGCACTACGAGTACTGATCTGCGGTCGGGCGAAATGTCGTCTGCCGTTTCGGCAAACGAGGTGTCGCTAGCTACGGAAGGTATTTCATAGAACTACCTAGAAGCCAGTAGTGTCGCGACGACACGTCGCCTGCTGCTGCTGTCTGTGGTCGGTTACGGAATTGTACCTTAAAGCTGCTATTTTACGCTGGTATTCTGTGAAAGCGTGGTCCTTCCCCGGTTGAGCCGACCCATTCGTGCTACAACGATATCTACAATTAATATAGCTGCAGCGTGGCTCTACCGTCGTACTACTTATCGACTTATTTACTTAAAAATAGGTAATTAAGTTAAGATAAGCTTTTATCTCCCTATTCAGGGAGATAAAAGCTAACGAAATTTGATGCTAACGAGATTTTGACGAGATGAGTAATAATGCAGCTATTATTACTAAGTTGACAACTCTACGGTACCCCGTTTAAAATATATCTCTTTTTATTATAAGGAAATTAGCTTAAAATTGGTCGCCAGCGAAGGAAATATTTTTTGTCAAGACAGAAATAGGTAAAGTGGAAACAAGAACATTGCCTTCCCAGCAACTTCAAAAGCATTCATTTTGTTGTTCCATACTTTTTTTCATAGCTTCAGTGGTTGTGATACAACCTCAGCCATTTACAGAAACCGCAAAGCATGTTCTATCAAACTTTTTTAACAAAATCTATTAGTAAAGGATATAGCAACTGTCTTTCATGGCCCAACATCAACTCCGGACACCATAGCAGAATCAGGAGAGAAAATGCTTCTCGCAGTAGGTATACCGCGCGCCCTCTACTTACACTGATCTTAGCAACCATCGACACAGAGTATTTTTGAAATCTTGTACCAAGTCCAAACCTGACCTTTCTTCCCTCCCTCCTATTAAGGGTCAGCGAAATATCACGCCTTTAGTGTGTACAGTAGTGGCTTGGGAATCAACTGCCCCCTGAAACGTGGGATTGGAAGCGAGGTGTCGATGAAAACCTAGAGCCGATCACAACCTTGGATCCTCCTGCTCCTGATACTTTATTGAATTCTATTTTCTGATGGAGTGGTTGTTCTGGAAAATGCAGTTGTCGAAAAGCATGCATGAAGTGCAGTCTTATCTATAATAGCTGCTCAGGAGAATTCACCAATGGAGGCCCCATGGATTTTTATGGAAGAGATGACGATGATGATGATGAAAGGAAGTTTAATTGATAACATTATATAAGTCAGCCGGCATATTATTTAATAAATATTACACTATTTAATAAATTACATTATTTAATAAAAAATACTATAATTCTATTTTTTTATTTTATCAAGTTAAATACCCAGTATCTCCGAAAGTATTAGTGCTATAATAAAAATGCATATGACATGATTTATAGGAAATTTAATGTAATTAATTATTGAAGCAGCAAGTGTAAAGATATTATTGAAAAAAGAGAATGTTTCCCCTCCCCCCACCGGCGGCTCACCCCTCACACTCGCGGACTTTCAGTATGATTATCAGGTCACCTCGAGAAACAGCTGTAACAACTTTCAAAAATATGGGGGTTATTTTTTCTGATTTAATTAATTTTCTCAGGCTATTTGTATCTTATGTCTTATATCTTACCTTTGCGGTAATAATATTATGTAAACGCGTTAATAGTCATGAGATCAATGACTCTAATAAAAAAATCTAAATTAGCCAGCGTACTTTTGGTGGAATGGAGCGCAGAGCTGTTTTCGTCATCATCATCATCATTTTCATCATCATCATTATTACAGCGCTTCACAAATCCACTTCTGAACCTAGGCCTCCCCCGTAGATTGCCAAATATTACAGTCCTGAGCCATCACATCGACACACATCACATCCATCGACTGCTTGCATGTTTTATCAGGTCGTCACTCCATCTAGTGGGTTCGCTAAACACTGAGCTTGCCAGTACGAGGCCGCTGCTCGAGAAACTTTTCTCCCTCGGCTGTCGAATCTTTGAGCTATATGGCTAGCCTAATGCCACTTCAACTTACTAATCCGCTAAGCTATGTCTTCTGCTGATTCTCGATACGGACTTTATCCAAAAAACTACACAGTGGTTTATTATTAATACGTCTGATTTTTCAGAAAATAACTCTCGGATACGACTGCCTGAAATCGCCGAAGCTCGATATGATGGTGATGCGGGCGCTGGGATTCCCATTCGAGCACAACCGCTTCATTAGAGACCTCCATATCGATGTGCAGATGCAGAACGTTGAACCAGGTTTGTTTAGAATGCAAATTAACACATATAAGATTTTATTCAAGTTGCATTCCTTGGGGAAGTCATATGTTCATCGGTGGACTGTAACGATGCCTATGATGATGATGATGGTCATAATTTTACGTACACATATTTTGTAAAAAAAGAACCTTTTCCGACCCGTGAGGGTGATTTTAGGTGTTATAATAATATGATCCTTTTTAGAGATAAATAAAAAAATTATCGCACAATAAATAAAATAATATTTAATTGAATGGAGAAATTACATGGCAATATATATATATATATATGGCACCTCACGCTCACCGTCAGCCATAGAATAGTTTTAGCCAGCAACACGTTACAAGTAATTGAAAGTCACAGATTACATCCAGGTAATCTGTGTTGAAAGTAATCGTCGCCGACGACGGTGTTGCCAGATTTCAAAGATTTGCTAATTTCTTAACAAATCGTAGTAAAAACGTGAATTTTAAAAAACAATAACATTCAAAATTTATTAAAAATACGTTATTGATAATTATAACTATGTATATACAACACGTAAGAAAAACCCTGAGGATTCCGTTAAGTGATTTATCAGAATCAGAATTCAAACGTATAAAATAACTTTACTTCAGAAAACACGACCATAAAAACATTAAATTAAAGTTTTATTTGCAAATTATATGTGGTTTTATTACCGACGAATATTTAGGCCGAGGAATAAGAGCATTGTTAATGACCCCGCTTTACTGATGCGCCTGTCATTTAGAGGTAATAAAACCATAGACAATAATTGTAAAACAAAAATTTATTTAAATTTTATTTCAATAAAATATTATTTCTATAATTATGTTTGAATAGTGATTCTGATAACGAACTGAACGGGAATCACAGGATTTTTGTTAAGTGTGTATATGTCTTGATGAGTTTACGATATCATTGTAAGTGATGGATCTTGGGTTTATCTATCAGTAGGATCCCGATAGGAAGCGCCAGTCGACAGTCTGTTTCAAAATGAACTAACGCCTACAAGAGCGAAGCGATTGAGCAGCGCGAGGAAGATTTTGATCGCTTGTTTTTTAACTTTATCGGGATATCTGATGTCAATTCCCTTGCAAAATTGAAGTAACATCAATGCTGGATGGTGTATTACAAAAGGCTTGCCTAAAGTGTTCATTGATTTGAACAACAAATAACCGAACACGAAGCTCCTCAGGCTAATGCTTCACTATAGGAACGCGCGCTCAAAATGAAGGACTCCATGGCACATACCACACCTTTTAAGGCTTTGGGCCACCCTCTATACAGCCTTAATTTGGCACCGCTTAGTTGTTATAAAACGTGATTTATTGATGATATGAAATGATGTTTTGAAAGTAATTATCACATAATCATGATCATTACAGTCCTTCATAAAAACATCACTCTCTCCCAAGGAATGTCACAAAACACGGTCCCGAGCCACCTGCATCCATCGACTTCCTGCATCTTCTACCCTAAGAAAACCTTTCTTCCCCGCCGGTCGTGTGCGAGTTATATGGGCAGGCCCGGCGCGTTTACTTTAAATTATTTTTATTTTTATTCCCAACTTTGTGGATGCTTTACAGGACCCACTATCATGAGGGGACTGAGGTATTTGAAGATGACGATTAAGGCCGGGTTACCTTCAACTTTTGAATTTAACTTTTTGATCTATGCAGAACAAGCTTAATAGTTACTTATCTTAATCACTTGTTTTTTTTTTACTTATGTGCATGCATGGGTTTTAAATTAAGATTATTAATTATAGGATCCCAAGCAGATGGTTGCACGCATAGAATATAAATAAGCAAGCTATGCTAAGCCAGTTTCCCTGTTGAAATTTGAATGTTATTTTTTTTTAATTTTAATAGCCTCGGGAATCATCTATATTAATCGGTGTTTTCTTACACCAAATTCAACCCACGTCAACCAAGGTCAAATCCAACCGTTAAAAATATTATATTAACACTACCTATCTATTTTATAATAGTATTATTGTAATATAATACCCTCACAGAAACATCTGATGCAATAAATGTTACAAATAAATTTACATAACGATATAATATTTCATTAAAATTTATTGAATAAACTATATCATTATTTGTTTTACAATCCATTCTATGATTATTATTTATTGCAACAACTTGTGCACGAAGTCTTATCAATAAATTATCAAGAAGATTACAATACAAGTTGATAAACAAGTTACAAACTTCAACAATAACTCGCTAATCATGCACCTAATTACCAGTTCGTTCGTAATCGTAAGTTCAGTTGCCTTTCGCTTGTCTTGAAAACATGTATCTTTTAAACGAGCAACAATTTAAATTGTACGAAAATATTTTTATAGAGACTAATATTCTATCGCCGGACTACGATGGGGTTGTTCTTATACTATACCCGGACGAGATGAACGTGAAGCTTCCGAGACATATCGGTAGTTTTGTAGAAGGAATATGCAAGCTGGACAAGCACATTCACAAAGTTGCTACGGTCTGGCATTGCGACTACGTTTCGGGTGGAAGAATAATTTTGGCGCCTACTGGCGAAATCACACCATATCACGACGCGAACGTTATTAAGGATGCTGTGAGGAAAGGCATGATACGAGCAATGGATGCGGGGGTTAAAAAACCGTTGCTAATCGTACAGGATCTGGTGCAATTCCCAGATGGACAACTGGTTGCGATTCTTAGTGCTTTAGAATCGCTTTACGCGCCATTGCAGATGAGGGAACGAGATAATTTGAGAAGTTTCATACGTCTGGGTTTGCACTCAGAAGAGAAAAGGACGGAGGATTTTGAAAGGATCATCAGAAATGCTATTGCATTGGAAAGGGCGAGAATCTTCACCAGGGATATTGCTGGCGGTGATCCCGAAAGAATGTCACCGGCAAAAATTGTTGAGTATGTTAAAAATTCATTCGCTGGAATCACTAATATCACAATCAAAGTTATAGATGATGAGTCCGTTATTGCAGAAGAATATCCTCTTTTAGCTGCAGTATCCAGAGCTGCGAATCGCGTGGACAGACACAAAGCTAGAGTTGTAGAATTGGAATACAAACCTTCGGATTTAAGTAGAGTCACTGAGACGCTGATGTTGGTCGGGAAGGGTGTCACTTACGACACTGGTGGCGCTGACGTCAAAATCTCCGGCAAAATGGCCGGCATGTCGAGAGACAAAAGTGGAGCCGCGGCTGTGGCCGGGTTCCTCAAAGCCTGTTCTCTACTCAAACCCCCCCATTTAAAAGTCATAGGGGTGCTCTGTCTATGTAGGAATTCCATTGGAGAGGACTCTTATGTAGCTGATGAGCTGCTGATTTCTAGAAGTGGGAAAACTGTTAGAGTGACGAATACAGACGCTGAGGGTCGTCTAGCGATGGCTGATTCACTTTTCAAGTTATCAGAAATCGCTGGCAAGGAGTTGAATCCACACATCTACACGGTGGCCACTTTAACTGGTCATGCGAGGGCTTGTTATGGGAATTACGTAGCTGCTATGGACAATCACAGCGCTCGAGCTACCAATCACTCCAGCAGACTTCAGGTCAACGGCGGCAGAATGGCCGAAGGTATAGAAGTGTCCACAATAAGGCCGGAGGATTTAGCAGTGAACTTGGGGAAATGTAAAGGTGATGATTTAGTCCAGTACGACACGAACGCAAAAGCTCGCAATCATCAGTTAGCAGCTGGATTTCTGATTAAGGTTGGAGGTCTGGAAGGGAAGAATATAAAGTATACGCATCTGGACATCGCTGGAGCTGCTGGAGAGCCACCAGAGGAGCCTTCGGCTGTGCCAATTCTTACATTATGTTACACCCATAAAGTTTTGTTGTGATTCTAGAACCTTAACACTCGATTTGTTTTCTATTAAATTACATCTAAATCTTCTTTGTAACTAATATGTTTATTTTAATTGATATTAAACTTGATTAAATTACAATAAATTAACTATTTGCTTTTATATTCGTTTGTATTGCTTATTGTCGAATTTGATTTCAACCAATGACTTAAGTATAATATGTAAAAAATAATGGAAATTTTTTAATAAAAGTAAAATCGAGTACAAGAACAAAAAAAGTAATTACACAATAAGTTTCTAAATTCGGTGTTAAGAAGAAATAGTGCACCGAAGAATTAATGACCTGAATTTAGAAGCTGTTATAGAAATCATATTCTTTTTTATTTTGAATTCGATTTACTTTTCTTTAAGTTAATTTTTTTTTAATTTATTTATTATATCAAAAAAATACATATATAGGTCTAATTATTAATTTAATTAAACCACGGAGGTTTCTTTTGATGCTAAATTATATTACCCTTTTGAGAAATAAGTTAAAGTTACAGCCTTTTATACGTCCCACTGCTGGGCACAGGCCTCCTCTCATTTCTGAGAGGGTTTTAGGGCAAGGAAATGTCCGTCGCGTTTTGTCAATGCGTTGACGAACTTCACATTTTTTCGAAATATATTTCTTCTTATTTCCAAACATGCAAGTTTCCTCACGATGTTTCCTTCACCGCAGAGCACGTGGTAAAATCAGCAGTTAAAATTGCAGTTAACAATTTCATTGGTCCCGGCTGGGATCGAACCCGGGTTGCTCGCGTACTGTGAAATTTACAGTGAGCGCTTAAGAACTAAGGAGGATCACAAATTCAAAATAACAACTATAATGACATCTATTTAAACGCAGACTGCTAATAAGAACTTGTTAATGTTACTAAATAGAAAAATTAAAAAGTTCGTGCCCTATTTTTTCACTCTTAATTTTTTTTTACTATTTATATAGGACCACACACCCACAAACACCTGAGCCATACACTATTTAAATTTATTTCAAGTTATACATAATACTTAATTTTATCTACAATATAAAAACTATGATAATAAAAAAAAAACTAAAACTAGAAACTTAATTATCATATAGTCTCTACTCCCCGCGGTATCGTGCCAAGAACGCTGGCTGCGTTTCCTCGCTGAATGGCTATACTTAGCCTTTGAGCGAGGAAAGAACCAGCCCTCTTATCACCAGCAGCAACGACCAGCCGCGGATGGAGTTCCTTTAGGAACTTCACCGCACGTGGACCCCACGGACTGATAGTCTCTACAGCAAATGGCACAAATATGTAGTCATCTCTCAGAGACTCATATTTTCGCCACTTACTCAGTTCAGCTGCCTCTGAAGCCGCCCCGGCTCTAAACGAGGTACCCCTGAGATAAGAGGCTGATTTAATAAAAAAATAATCATAAAGATCGGTTTACAATTGACGAAAACATCGTGTAACATACATCATCATCATCATTATCGTCATCATTATAGCCCTTCACAGGAAATCCGCAGTAGAACCAGGGTAACCGACATAGCCCAACAGATTAGTAAGCTGAAATGACAATGGGCAGGTCATATTGATCGGAGACCCGACAACCGAGGCAGCCTCGTACATATTGCATACATACAAAGAAATAACATACATTCGAATTGATACTCCCCTCTTTTTTTGCAGTCGTGTATAAATGATAAGTTAATTACCTGCAAAATGAGATAAAAGTTTTTATATCTAAATTCATGATTAGATTGAAAGTTCACTGTGGACATGGTATTTTGTACTCGTATGCTCGTAAATGCGTCAATAGATTTAATTCAGATGTATATAAATATTTATGTGATAAAATTTAAAAAACTTTAGTATACAAAAACAAAAATAGTTTAATTAAATATAGTGATGTTAATAAAATTAAAATTTAAATACTAGAAACAAGCACAAACCAAAATTCCAGTTAATAGAATACAGAGTCAGTAATTATTTCTTGGGAACGCTATTACAGAAAATATGAAGAGCTTGTTTATCAAAAAGTTTAAGACTTTTATGAAACATTTTTTTTATAGAAGATTAATTAATACATAAAAGAATACATGACTCATAATAACGTTGGTAAAATTGTTACCATGCTGTTTCTTATGTATTAATTAATTCAATTAGACTACACTGTAATTTTTTTAAAGATGGCGATCTTCAGATTAGCGGGAGCTGAGATTTTTTCTGGTTCTTCCCAAGACAGAGATTTTTACGCACCAGTGGTAACAGCATAAATGACTTGGAATATGTGTTACTTGTAATTTAAGTATATTAAATAAAATCTATTGTGTTTTGCGAAAAATTCATCGCCCAAAGAGATGAGAGAGAGCAGATTCCTCAGTTCTGATATTCAATTAAAAATTGGATCAGACATCTGATTAATGTAAATAAGCCGCAATTATAGAGCCATTTTAAATTAGGTTTATTATGACTAGAAGGAATATTCATAAAAAAATCACAAATTAATAATTTTTTATTCATGAATTTTGATTTTAACTGTTATATGAATCTGGATCCATTCATCACTAAGCTACACAGTCGCACAAGCTTTATCTTTTACCACCGGTTCATTCCAGTTCATCAGTATCAAAATTAGTATCAGTTTGTGTATGAACTATTTATGAATGTGTATTCTCGCTTGCTGGCTTACAGACGGAATGGAACTATTCACTAAAGACGCGAAGCTCCCTCCAGAACTGGAGGCCCTGCCCTATGACATCAATAGCGTGACGCACTTTGGTGAAAGAGATTATAGCAAAAACGGTCACAGGACTATATTATTTAAGGTAAGTTTTCGTAAGTATGATACTAAAGCACGGTCGCGGAGCAGGATTTTTTTAATTGCTTTGCATTTTTAAACTTTATTTCCATCATACAAAGTTTTATTTCTATTGCAACTAAGATAGTTTTAGGACCTTTTGAACTGTATTTGTGATTCGAAAACTGAGTTTAATATCAAGTTATTAAAGTTCAAATTTGTATGAATTGCAATGATTTGAAATTCTTCCTGCTCCGCGATCACAATCTAGCTATTCATCAGTTTCGACAAGAACCACAACTTTAGGATTCAAATTGTGGTATTGTGTCGGCTGTGTAGGATCCATTATTGTCGTTGCTACAGCAAGCGAGGAAGCGTTTTAAATTTTTTGGTATCCGAATCCAATGTATGATTATAACATTATTCATGACAATGACCCAATGACCTTCTGACCAAAATTCGGTCACGGCGGCTAATCTCAACGAAGAATAGCCATCTGCGCAGCACAGGATTATCGTGCTCGAGTGTATGCAAGTGCACTCTCTACTCCCTCACTCTCATAGTCTGTAGGGAGGGCAATCTGTCACGACCGGAGGGAAATCAGACGCAGAACCAACGGCTTTACTAGCTTTCTGAGGCACGGGGATGAAACACCGCCAACTTCCTGACTCCGGACTGTTAATGAGAATTTCTTGACAGAAAATTCCAATAACTGATTTATTTAACGCGAGATTCGAACCCAGGACCTCATGGACAGCAATCGCGTTTACGACTACTAGACCAGCGATCCAGTTATTCACCCATTACTGCCTATAGAAGTCCACTGCTAAACATGGGCTTCACCTTATATTGCCTTCCCAGGTTTTTTTATTATTTTAAGTTGTTATCTGGAAGATGTTGCTGCCCATCTCCTGTTCTAGTTTCCCTCTGTTGTGTCTGAGGATTCGTCTAGACCTTTTTTCAATCATATATCCGCGTTACTAAGATAAATACATTATGAACTTCAAAGAGGCTGATAAACGATAAGCTCAAACAAAGCTAAGTTATTTACTACATCAACACTTATCATCGGGTAAGATTAAGGCATAGCTTTATAGTACTAGGTACTATAAAGCTATGCCTAAAAAATATTTTTGTAATATGTTAAACTATCATTTTAATTTAACATTTCAGGACCCTAACGTCCGTCAGAACCGGATCGGTATGTCCGATATAGATATACGAAAAATAGAAGTCGTTTATGGGCCGGAATGTCAGAAACGGGACCGCCAAGAGAAGATAAGACTCTGTCAGGGCTACCCAGGAGTGGCCAGAAAGAAACGAGAGATAGACCTTACAAAAGCCGTCTCCAGCTTACGCGTTAACCGAGAAATAACAGCCCCACCTGAAGAAATCCTTTCAAAAGATGAAATTAAAACTCTACATGAGTTAGGGATAGGGAAAGAAGTTCAGGAAATCATAGAGAAAGTGTATAAAGTTTCTTCTATAGCTCTGCAAAAAACTAGAGAAAAATATTGCATTGATAAAGAACCAAATCTGAGATCAAATACAAATTCAAATGAAAAAGTAGCCGACGTGTTAGGAATAGTCAAAACTGTAACAGGGTATGTTCAGTCGATAGTGGGCGAAGCTATAGGAAATAAAACAGTGTTTTGTGAAATGTACAAATCATTGGATCAATACCAACGAGCAAGATGCAGCTACAGCGATAATGATGATTCATGTAGAAACAGTTATAGATCAACCAAATCAGGCAGAGTTCAACATTCCACTCAGCACAGACCTACGCATTTCCTGTCAACAAAACATCTTGGCAAGAGAGTTGAAAATCAATATGAGCGTAATGTTTACAGAACTGGTAACAACACAGAAGTCACTAAAGTGAGAAGAAAAAGAGCTATTGATTCAGTGACAAAAGCAGTTGCATCAGAGGGTGAGTCAGATACTACTTATACTAATAATATTTGGGTTAGAAGAAAAAGAGCAGTAAACTTTGCCTCAGAAATTGAAGGTAAATATACGAATGTTGAATCTGATGATATCAAAGTGAGAAGTAAGAGATCTGCAGCTACACAACCAGTTACAAAAGCAAGCGAACCAAAAGGTAACACTGGAAATCAGAGTTTAAATAAGGAACAAAAAGCAACTGACGGCGTTAAATTAACTAATAAAGATTTAACGACTACAGCTAAATTGAATGAAAGAACTAGCACACCAAAGACAATTCAAAAAATAAACGACGGTAAAACTAATATAAAATCTCTGGGTAGAAGGCGTTTCCAAGATAGTCCTTTTAGGTAAGTCCTGTTATTAGATGGAGAACGTTACAATAGACAAAACATAGTTTTTGCAAAAAAAAATTAATATACGTTCCACTTCACGGCGTAATTTATACCGACCGACAGGAGGAGGTACACATTGAATAAAACTACTTTTTTACGGTTAAATAACTTATTTTATATTCCCGACGTTTCGGTTGCTTTCCAGCAACCATGGTCACGGGGGACTAAACTAGATTTATTCAATGTTCGCGTAAATATAAGAAATCATTAGGAGGTACACAATTGGACTCCATGTTTTTTTTAATGTGTGTTACCTCATAACTTCTTTCTGGATGAATCGATTTCGATGATTCTTTTATCATTTCAAAGCTGGTGCTTCAAATGTGATCCCATATAAATTTGATCAAGGTCTGACCAACAGTTTTTGAGTTATTCTTAATAATTTGTATTGAAGTCGGTTGTACAAAATTTTAAATTACGATGTTATTCAGTGACAGGAAAGACCCAATTTTATGGATTCTTAATTTTTATACAAACAAAAACCTAAGTATCGTTATGACGTTTTTCTCATAGGCGTGCATCTTGATTCCCGTGTGTGTCATAAGAGGTGACAGAGGGATACTGAAACGAGATGGGCAGCAGCGGCTTACTGACAACCATTGAAAATAATAAAAAACCTGTGGTTGCATAGCCGCCTGCCAAGCATGACTTAAAATGAAATATCTCCCCAATGAGGCAATTAGGAAGTGGATTTTGGATAGGCTGTAAAGAATTGAATGAATAAATTAATGTATTAATAACAATATGTCATCACGCAGGGACGTCCTCATTCCTAAGTATATCACGCAGAGTATATTTGCAGTAGAACCAGATTTTTTTTTATAGGATCGGGTGACATACGAGCACACAGTCCACCTGATGGTAAGTATTTACTGTGACCCATAGACATCTACATCTATCCTCAATAAAGACTCAAGATGCAGATGCGTTGTCACCCGTGAGGACTAAGATGGAATGCCTCTTTGCCAGTAAAAAAGGTCTGCGGTTCTCTACACTCACCATACTAAACACAGCAGCGTTAAGCTGCTATTTTACGCTGGTTTTCTGTGAGAGCGTGGTCCTTCCTCGGTCGAGCCGACCCATTGGTGCTACAACCATAATATAGCTGCAGCATGGCTCTACCACGATTAACTGACATATCCCAACGGATCTGTAAGCTGAAGAGGCAATGGGCAGACCATATAATTCTAAGAACCAGCAACATATGAGGATGAAAGGTTCTCGAGTGACAGCGGCATACCGCTAAGAATAGTGTAGTGCGGACCCCCACTGGATAGCGTGAACACCTGGTAAGAGATGCCGGAAGTCGATGCATCGATGCTCAGGACTGTAACTTGTACACAAATGCTTAGTGTGTACGTTGTACGTACAATACAAGCTACGTACCCAGCAGTACTTTAGGGGAGGCCTATGTTTGCATATGTTTGAAGGGCTGTAATGATAATAATAAATAATAAAAACCATTTTTATTTGCTCTTCACAATGATATAAAATTTCACATTACTACTGAAATATTACGGTTGTAGACAATCTGTGACCTTTGTGAGAGACTGGTGTCCATACTAGGGTAAACTATGTGTTATACGAGTAGATCACCAAGCCGTCACCCTAACGGATTACACATATTTATATTTCCAAATATACTACAAGAAAAATACAAAAATAAGAAATATTTCAATGATTCTAGGTATATGTATAATTGTGTGCGTGTGCGTGAGGGTGTGCGTGTGCGTGTGCGTATGCGTGTTCGTGTGTGTGTTTGTGTGTGATGATGATGATGATATACATGTCATACTCTCCCTATTTCAGAGTCTACAATCGAAAGAAGAACGAAGAAGACAAAGACGAATCCGCCTTATCACTGGAGACTAAACAAGAAGAAATAATCCCTAAGAAGGTGAAAGAGATAAAGAACAATTATCTACCGCAGAATAAGAAGAAACCCGTCAAAAATTGGTAAACATACAAATATAATATATCAATAAACATATAAATCAATATCAGTGCATTTTTATTTAATCTGTGCCTTTTATATATAGTTTTATTTCTTTTTTTGTCAATATAATCATTAAACAGTGCCTACAATTTTTACACTTGTTTGTTTTGGTTAAAAATGTTCTGATGTTGATATAGCTAAGTTCAGTTATTATGAGAGTTGAACTGAAACTGAAACTGAAAGTGGTGAAATAGCCATGCAAATACCAAAGACTTCTAAGTATATTTACAACTAGATGGGCTCTTCGGCCTAAATACATTGTGCACTAAGTTACGGTCAATTCTCCATAACTCTTTTCGTTAACTGCGAGCGAAGGACTAGTTTCTATTTTGTAAACTGCGAACGTTGTTTTCTACAGTCTAACACTGATTTTGTTTAATGTAACTAAGAAAGTATTTCGTATTTCCCTAAAAAAGTAACTATCGTTACTGAAAATGCAATGGCATATTTACCGTGCCAGCTACCCAAGCAGCCGGCACCCGCGCGATCTACAGCTGCGAACCATTGTTTTGAATTGCAGGTCTAGTAGTGTAACATAGAAGTCGTTGGTTTGGCAAAAACGCCGAAACCAATTTGCACAGACGTATGGGAATTTTACTGTGTAGTGACGGTGTAATTATATCCACTACCACATATCATCTCGTAGGTGGCGAAGAGGCAATAGAGGGTAACAAATCAGGAGATGGGGATTATAACGATTAAAAATAAAAAACTGCGGTTGCCAACTCGCTTGCCGAGGGTGGTAACTATGGCAAATATCCCCCCTATGAGGCAATCTATGGGGAGGCCTATGTTTAGCAGTGGATTTTAATAGTAACTGTAACGGTAACCGTATGGTGCCCATTACACAGTAGGCTTTGCTGTCAGTTTTACAACAATCACGGTTGTGATTAACGAATAACCTACCTTGTAATGCGGTGATTGACGGTTGTATGAAATTGACTGACAAATATTTGGATATTTTTTGGTTTTTACGTCAATCAACTATCAGTCACGAATTTTGATTGAACTAGCTTGTTTTGTTTTAGTTGCTCCTAGCTTTTCTTCGGGAGTTATAGCTTTTCGCATTCATGTATCTTATTTTTTTTAGGTAATGTGAAAATTTAGGTCATGCGAAAATAATTTGCATAGTCTTTATCCTCTTTTGAAACCCGTATGTCAATAAGTTAATATGGGTATAGAAATCCCTTTTTAAAAGCCAGTTTTTTACCCAGCTCATTCTTTTTATACGTTTTTTACACAAAATTGCAGCACAGGCCTTTTTTTATCAATAACCATCCTTTCTCTCTGAAATAAGTAAGAAAAAATGGCGGTTGTACCCTTTCTTTTCGCCAAATATAAAATATCTAGCACGACTAGGACTTCAAAGGTAAAAGGTCACCTACCAAACGTGACGGTTAAATCTTCACTGTAACGAGAGCCTGACGATGAAGTTGGGGACACGACTACGGTTCTTACGGCTCCACGATTTTAAGGCGTATTAGCGTAGATCTCGACGAGATACGCTGAAAAGTAGTAATATAATTATTCGATATCTAGCTAACTAAGCGAGATATCGATACTCAAAAGTTACTTTTTTTACACAGAATTATTGACCCAAAGATACTTCTGCAACGGCTTCGGCGCTGCGGGAAGTGCAGTCCCTTCGCCCTTGCGTAGCTAATCGCAGGCATCCATGCTCACCTCCGCAGCTTTGGCTTATTGGTCGCCACCAGCCTTAGCCGCTACGGCACGCACAGGTGCCTGCTATTTGCTACAGCGGGGGCTGCTCTCCCTTCGCGCCTACGGCTTTACAAAAATACTCTAGGGGTAGGGCAGACAAGACTACTTGGAGTCAGGGCGTGCTGGTTCGGTTTTAGTATTCGGTTTTTGAGTATCGATATCTCGGAAACTAAGCGAGATATCGAAGAATTTTATTCTTATTTTTCGGCGTATCAATTCGAGATCTATGCGAATCCGTCTTCAAACCGTTGCGCCGTAGGAACCGTAGAAGCTCCAAGTTGGGGACGAGAATTACCAGTGGTAATTTGTAAGATTTGCTTTCTCCATTCCGCCTGTCCGGCATGGTGAGTAAACAAGTCATCCAAGTCCAGGTGGCGCATTCTTGGTAAGGCAGGAGATTAAAAAGCTATCTTATATAAATAAAACCGAATGATCAGTCTAAATTGTTCGTTCATTGATTAAAGGTGTTGCCCCTAACCCTACACAAGCATCTATGTAGATATCATGTCTTTACATACATAGGTAAAATTGACGTTTTGTATTGGAAAATTGAAATAAATTATTTTCACAAAAACCTTTACATAAAAGATTTAAAAACTTCCAGTTTTATAATCTGTGAAATATGGATTTTTAACTAAGAGTATGTATACAATACATAAGCAATCTATTATATATATATATATATATATATATATATATATATATATATATATATATATATATATATATATATACTCTAAGGTTTTTAATATTTTTAAAATTAAATTGTGTCCTATAAACATAGATAAATAATGTTCAAAGAATGTGAACTACTACCTCCTAAATTTAGTATTTGGTCAGATATTATAGCAGACGGAAAGAACGCAATTAAAAGGATTAAGAAGGGCAAACGAGCATGCGGCTGCCTTAATGGTAAGTGACTACCACCGCCCATGAACAAACGCAACACCAGGGGAATTGCAGGTGTGTTGCCGGTCTATTAAGAAGGAGTAGGGGTAGTAGGAAAAATCGCAGGTGGTAGACGATTCCACAAGGAAGTTGTGCGAGGAAGAAAACTTCTTTTAAATCGCACAGTAGTGGACCGCCAGTCATCCAAATGGTATGGATGGTATTGCGAGTTTTGTCGCGATGTGCGATGGTGAAATTGAGCGACTGAAATTAGTCCGAACAATTCCTCGGAGCACTCCCCGTGGTAGATGCGATAAAAGACGCAAAGAGATGCAACATCTCTTCGCAGCGCCAGTGAATCGAGCCGATCGGAAAGGACTCGGTCGTCGACGATTCGAGTCGTTCTGCTCTGGATGCGGTCAAGTGGAAGGAGTTGCAGCCCCAGCCCAGAGATGCGAACAGTATTCCATGTGAGGCCGAACCTGCACCTTGTAAAGTTGCAGGCGTTGTGCCGGCATGAAATACTGTTCCGCTCTGCTGAGCACGCCAAGCTTTTTAGAGGTTACTTTGACCTTCTCTTCCAAGTGACCATGAAACTGCACGTCACTCGATATGTCGACGTCGAAGATTCCGATACTGGCAGAGGCAACAAGTAGAGTGCCTTGAAACTGAGGAGATACGACAAAGGGGTTCTTTTAAGCGGTAAACGCGCAAAGTTGTGTCTTCTGAGGATTAAACTGGACTAGATTTAGTCGACCCCAATCCGAGACTTTGTTCAGCAAAGACTCGACTTCAGACACAAGTTTATTCTGGTACTCGGCAACGTTTTCCCGAGAAATAATGGCAAGGCCGGTGTGTATAGCGCATCACCAGTGCTGTCAGCCGCATAGCAATGAATGTTACTGGTTTGCAAATTGATATCCATAAGAAACAGCATTGATGATAGCTTTGATATGCATGAGAAACAGCGTTGATGATATCACGCCAATGTTGTAATCGGAGCATGCACCGTCTATATAGATAGAAAATTCTTTATTGGTCACTCCAGTAAAAGATAGTACTATGGGCGGTCTTATTGCTAAAAGCGACCTTTGTGACCTGTGTGATTGTTCTTCAGACAAGAATGTCTACATAAATACTGATATACATAGCGTAACGCCTGTAATCCTCGAGAGGGCAGGCAGAGTCTAAAGAGTAGCGAGCTAGTCGTATCATGTTTAGCCAAAAAAAATAACTAATAAGAATGGACAAAATTCGTCGCCAACGCCGCAAAGGTGCGGTGTTGGCGACGAATTGTTTAGCGGCAGTAATAAAACCAAGATTGCATTATAACATATTGTATTTAATGTAATTTTTACGGTGTATACTCGACTGTATTCTCCTAATTTGTATCGTACTACATGTTAAGGCCGGTAGTAAAGAGAAGGATCCCGGAAAGAGCACCGAGAAAACCGAAAGGACCCGTTCCGAAGACAGTGAAGCTGTCAAAAGCAAATGAGGAGTTCTACGCTGACAGACGCTGGCCAGACGGGGTTGTCAGATATATTATTAAGGAAATACCAAAATGTAAGTTTTACTACGTGTTAAGTGTTTACCATCTAGCGGTAACGTCAGCGAATATAAAATCTGATATCATTGTGTAGGTGCCGCATAGGCGACAGAGGGAAACAGAAACAGGAGACGGGCAGTAGCATCTATATAAAACTGCGGTTATAATTACGTCAGCTAAGTGTCGTAACTATGACTTATTATTATTTATGAGTCTAAACTAGGTTTTGGGTCCAAAGTAAGTCTAAAGGAAGTAAGGAATGGTTTGAAGAAAATAGCAATTAGACATTTTACCATGTTCTTATTAACTCCCTTTCATGTATGACTGTTCGGGTCGAATTTAGTAATTGATTTTAAACTAACTTCCCGATCGGCTAGAGACTTGAAACATATAGTTTATAGTGCCACCAACTTATCTGTGAACTGACAGTTTGGCGCTTCTGCGCTGAAGTGTTGCCAGTTCGGGAATATTCCCATCTAAGGGTCTTATATTCCTACATAGAGTTCACATACTAGAGTAATAAATTAGTCACGGAATAAAAAGACTAGAACACAGATTTAACAGATATATGTCCAAGAACAAGAAGAAACAAAAATATCATAATTGAACAATTTAAACTTTAATTAAATAATATGCCTTTATGCCTTTTTTACCGGGCGTTGTAATTTGCGTTCCTGTGGTTTATGCGGTTTCCGGTTCTTTAACTATTTTGGAAATGAATCCTTGACTAACATCTGAGAAAGAAATGAATTGCATTAACCAATCCATTTATCGGAAATACGAAAGGAAGGAACAAAACATAGCAATACTGACCTGTAGCAGCTGATACTCTTTTATAGACCTGATTGAAAGGCATTATCGGTGCTTACCCTCGAGCTTCTTGCTCACATAAGTTTAATACTTATAAAATAATGTTTCGGGCATCACTTTTAATGGTTTTCGGCATTTTTTATTTTTCTATGAACTCTCAAAACAATGACGTATCGAGTGACATTTGATTAATTGGCGGCTGTAGTTCACAATTTTGCCGCAGCTGTCAGTTCACAGATAAGTTGGTGGGACTACAGAATAAAATGACAATGTAAGAATATGAAACAAAAACGTGGTATATTAAAAAAATATATTTTGAAAGTTGACATTATCTATGATGTAAAATTGAACCGCTGAATGTGTTGCTAAGCGCAAATCTCGAGGGCAGCTGAACCGATTTCGCTAATTATTTTTTTATAATATTCCTTGAAGTACGAAGATGGTTTTTACGGAGAAAAAAATTTTAAAAATTGCCTGAAAAAGTCTAAAAACAATACTTTTCTATATTCCCATACAAAAGATTCGTAATAATACTTAAATGTCAATTTGAACTTTAATACCATACCATAAAGTTTAAGTGTTAGCGAAGGGGTCCCGGGAAGGCAAAATACTTGAGTGACGTTAGTATCGTATAAATATTAATTTCAATGGAATATAATAAGTAGGTATCATATTAAGAAATCAGAAATTGTAATTTTCATTGTGATTTTTAGTGACTATTAAAAGAATTTCAAGTGTTTTATAATTTTTATTTTTTGACATAATGTAATTGTTGACTTATCAACTTTCTTTTTTCTTTTTTATCTTACTAGCTGACCCGGTGTCCCGAATAACAGAATAAATTAAAAAAAAATTAAAGAATCGACTGTTAGGCGGTACGAAGTTCGCCGGGTCAGCTAGTTGTAAATAATTTAGTCGATTTTAGTATTGTGTACTGTATGTAGTAAGTTTTATTTAAGTTGATTTTTCAAAGTGTTTATTATACTTATCGTTATATCTTGACACAATATCTTAATTAATTATAGCCTGTGTGTTATTCTGATGTATGAGCTATATTATTGTATAGTTTAATTAAAATACATTCAGTAGTTTTTGAGAGGAAAAGTAACAAACATCCGTACATCCTCACAAACTCACGTTTATAATATTAGTAGGATAGTATACGACTTTGCGTTTTTATGGCGAAGTGTTGGGCGTCCTCTCACTAGATGGACTGACGACCTGGTAAGACATGCAGGAAGTCGATGAATTCAGATGGCTCAGGACCGTGCTTTGAGGCATTCCTTGGGTGAGGCCTATGTTCAGCAGTGGACTTATGAAGGGCTGTAATGATAATGATGATGATGAGGACGACAAAGCTTAAGGTGGCCATTATATTACCCTCACGTACCTTACAGAATTTTTAAAAAATTCACTTGCTTTAGATGATCTGGAAGACATGCGCTCGCGTCTTAAGGAAGTAAACAGAATTTTGAGGGAAAAGACCTGTGTACGCCTTGAGGAAATAACATCAGACGAGACGAACTTATATGAAGATTACCTGGTGCTGGATAACAGCCCGGATTACGTCACCGGAAGAGTTGGCGGGCGGCAGGTATGTCATGCATCCAATCTGCTGAATTTAACGGCCCATACACAATATACGGCTAGCAGCGTTGCGGTCAAACGTCCGGTTTACCACAAGTTCTTGTACTATTATTTATTCTGTGCCACAAGCGTAAAATCTTCATACAGGATTATTTTGCAATTACCAGCCAAATTTGTAGAAAAGGTTCAGAAAAGGAAGAAAGGTTCAGGTATAGGCAAATGGTGAAGAAAAAGAAAAATAGTTAAAATGGTGAAGAAAGATTTATTTAAAAAAGTTTCAAACATTCTGTCCTTTTTATCTTTTAAATTCTAAATGCGTGGTAATGCATTATTTTAACTGATTATACTGCGCACGCAGACATTCGTAAGGTACCATTGGTAAGCAATATATGTTGCCCATAAATCACATCATTCAATTTGACATAATTTCAAATATAAGCATTATTTACTCGTATTTTCAAAAACTGCAATAACGGTATCTCATTATTTACATATTTCAACTTAAGTTTAAAATTTTGCTACTCTTTAAAAAATAACCCTGTATAGGGTACCTACATACGAGTATAATTCTTCTGTCCGCGTTTATACGACTGAATTCCATGTGAACGGCTCGACCGATTTTAATGAAATTTTATGCGTATGATTAAGTTGATTTGAGAATGATTTAGATTCATATTTGGGCACTGTAGGTGGCGCTTTTATCGAGAGACAGAAATCATCAGTGAAAGTCGGAACGGATCGCTAGTATGTACATAAAACTTAGTTCTTTTCGCACTGCGATGCGGTTGATTGCAAATCGTTGCGATACAATAGGGTTGCAGACTTGCAGACACAGGAGTAGATAAACGGAATCTCTGCAACCACGTGAGTAAATTCCGTTTATTTACTCATATGGTTGCAGAGGGCCATAAGAGCAATTATAACATAAGACCAAAGGAGTTCCTTATTAACTTAGGTCTCTCAGAATGTTTACGAAAATTTAATGTACACAAGAACAAAAATAGTTTTATTGAAAATAGTGATGTAAATTCTTATAGATATATTTATTAGATTCCAAAAAGTCAGTAGTTCCTTCATAGGCCACCAATGTGGGTCTACATTTTTACAACAAATTCCTAGAAACTATGTAGGGTCCATGGTAGGGTCTATGTATCAAAATGTTTATTTTTTTATTAATAATAAAAAATTTACCAAGTGCTATTATACCTACTACTAAAGAGTACATGACTATTAACAACCCCGGGAATGAGGTGATTGATCGTGGCCCTATTATTGAGTCTTGCTAGTTCTCGGAGGGCCATACACAAAACGAAATTACATCAGCTGCTAGCGCCATCTTGTGAAGATTGATGATGATCCAGTCCAGTGCAGTGGCAGAAAAGATAATTTATTTTAGATTTATTGAAAGGGTGGAGTTTCACTCAGCTCTTTTAGAAATGTTATCTAACAACTACTAAACCACCGTGCTGCAATATTTTTATTATTGTAGATGAAACAATTATGTTATATTTGGTCCACATTTTATAACAGCGCCATCTCGTTACAATTACATGAACATTTACAAAGATTAGTGCAGTGAACATGATGTCTTTCAACATTTTTTTGGTGCTGTTCTAATTTTGTGATTTGATATAAATTATTTAGTAACTAAATTTTATATTTATATGTAATAAATATATCTCTGTATATAAAAGTCAATTGCTGTCCGTTAGTCTCGCTACAACTCTAAAACGGTTTCACCAATTTTGATGTTATTTTTTGTGTGTGTTTGAATGAGTCCCTAGACGGCTTAGATTCACATTTGAACCCGGTAGGTGGCGCTGCTGTCGGGATCCAGAAATCACCGGGTGGGTCGCTAGTTTTATATGTATAAATTTTTAAACAAGACATAGTTTAAAAAAATATTTCAATATTTAAATTTAATAGAAATATGACAATTATATAAATTTACAAAAAGGATTTTTTAGTTCTTATATAAAAAAATTATGTCTTATCCTAATATTTTGATTTATTAAGTAAGTCCTCGGTAGTATAGTGGTAAGTATCCCCGCCTGTCACGCGGGAGACCGGGGTTCGATTCCCCGCCGGGGAGAAACTCTTTTGCACTCTTTTTAATTAATTAATACAATAAAACTGACAATTTTGTTTAATTATCAAGTATAGCTCTCATTTATATTAACAAAAATAGACAATAGGTTGTCAATCTAAACATATTACAAAGGCAAGGCGCAAAAGCTTTTATTTGCATTTTGATGATATTGATAAAAATTAAAAAAATTATAGTTTATGAACAATAACAGAATTAAAATCAAAATCAGAATTCGAGTCCAGTATAGAAATGTTCAGATTTTTTAAAATAAATTGATAAAAAATTCTAAATTTATATTTAAATGCAACAGGGTGAACTCAAGCCACTCCTTACCCTAAGATGTTTTTTAATACGTCATTGTCTTTACCTATAAAATTGGAGGTATGGGCGTAAGAAATCTTACTAGCGTTGCATTGCCTGCTTTCCTTACTTTCGTGCATAGTGTCAGTGAATATAATTTTAAATAAATTAGACTAATGCTTTGGTGCGGTGGCAAAGCAAACAAACAAACGCTCTGTACCACCGAAAATATTCCGCTCGAAGTTAATCAACAAAAACATTGGAATATTCCGTTGGCACGGAGTGTGCAAAAATATTTGTTTCACAATTTCCATAGTGACCAAGATCAGGCAAGCTTTCAAGCTGACTAAAGAATCTAGTCACTGGTTACACGCTTGGGGGTAATCGAGTAATCTTGACACATTACTTGATGGGGAAAGATTGCATATAGCTATAGGAATCCGGCTAGGAGCGGCTATTAGACGGCCGGTTGATTAGACCGTGAATAAATGTTTTTTTTTTCTTTTTTCCTTTTTATCTGTCAACCTCATCAGTGGTCTTGTGGTAGCGGCGTCGGTGAGTTTAGGCTCCACGGATTATCATGTATGAAAAATGCTGGTGGGTTGTCCCGTCACTCTAAACGATGTTATCCGAAGAGACTTATCTCAATAAATGCTCCCTCGGTTTCCAGAAGCTTGTTGGAGTATTTAGAGACGATGGCAGTAGACACGACGGTAAGACTTTGAACCCTTGGGAGAGAGGTAAAGGCCTAATGTAAGATGCTACGTGCGTAGACACTTTGGCAACCTCTCATCTCAAGGGTACTTCGTTTAGAACCGTGGCGGCATTAGAGATGCTGGATTAAGTGATGCAAATACGAATCTCTGAGAGATGACAACATATTTGTGCCATTTGCTGTAATCCGTGGGGTCCACGTGCGGTGAAGTTCTTAAAGTTCTGTATTAAAGTAAGTAAAAAACTGTATCCACAAAACAGGGTGGGTTCTTTTCTCCCTCAAAGACTATATTGCATCGTCATTCAACTATGAAACGTAGCCAGCGTTCTCGGCACCATACCGCGGGTAGTAGGACTGTATGATAATTTAAGTTTATAGTTTTAGTTTTGTTTTATTATGGTAATAAATATTGTATATTTGAATAAATTTGCAATAAAAAAATCAGTATCATTTATTTAGTGGAACTGAAAGTTCTGCGCTCCGGCTCAATTTTAAATGGTATATTTTTCAACCACCCTTATCCTATAAAAAAAAATACATAGGGTTATGTCCTTTAAGTTTTTGGTAGGCACCTATTGTAGATAAGTTTAAAAGGAACAGATTCGTAACAACTTCTAGTTTTTAATCAAGCATGTGACGAACATGAAATATAAATTAATACAGATAACAATCAATTGTTTTATGTTTTACCACAGAATAAATAATACTTACCTTATCGTGTTTTGGTTTTAAGAAAAGTAATTTTTCTTTTAACACTAAGAATTTATTAAAGCTCATTGAGATAAAAAAAACCATGTGAAAAGAAAATTTGGAATCATCATCATCATTACAACAAAATTTTATGAAAATATAAGGCGTTCTTAATATAAACAAATCTGATATAGAAAAGCAAGTAAGTACACCTTTTGCTAAACTTTCGATCCAAAATCCAATTTTTTATAACTTACGTAATCGAATTAATCTTAACTTCCGTAAAGCTGTCGTCTAAAGTCTCGAAATAAGTTAGGTCCTAATAAATTATATTTATTCCAGTTTATGACAACCCTGATTTATATTACGTGGCTGAAATTAAGTACTTTCTTTAAATTAGGTAGGTACGTCCATTTTTTATATTCCGTGGTCCAACCACAGTCAAACTGGTCAAACTAAATAATGCTAACAGCTTGACGGCTGATATTATGCACTCCATCCGTTTCGTATATCTCATCAGAGCCCCATAAATTTATTCAAAAATAATTGCATTAATATTAATTATAGTCATATTCATGCAAATCACAAAGCCGATGATGAGACATTTCAAAATAAGCCTTATTTTATCAGAGCCTTAGCTTGTCAAAAATTAGGAAAATGAGCGCTATCCGTAGCGTATGTACATATTTTGATTATAAACTCAATACCGATAGATTGATAACTGCGTGGTAATATTTGGAATATATAGGTACCTACTTTCTTCTAATCGCGAAGAATTTTTTAAATGTCATTATTTGTAGTTAACACCTGGGGCTGGTATTAGGGGCCTCCAACCAGTTTTATTAATTTGTGTTATGTTATTGAATAAACAACATTATATATTTCAAATTGTACTCCCTCACCGAAGAGTATTTAAATGACTACCACAGAATAAATAATAGTAGTACCTACGTATTACCACAGCATAAATAATAGTTAAAAGGACCTTTACCTGGTACCTGGTATTACTACGTTTATCCTCGCACTGAATTGCAGATAGCAATATCGTTCATATTATTTCTCTAATATGTTTCAAATTACTGGTGCATACTGCATAACTGCATAACACATGCAGTTTCAGCACATGAGTAAAGAAACCGACCGTTTCAGTTTATACAAAGGTACAAAGGTTGCATTGTGTTGAGCATAAAAGCTTGAATGAAAACGATAGAGATAGCAGTAAACCTCAATATTATTATTCAATGACGTCAAAGGGCATGCGTAGTAATTATGGGGTGATCATATAATACACAAAGTTACAATTTGGTAACTTTTTAATGTAATTAAAAATTATAGGGTTTGGGTTCATATGGTATATAAATCATGTAGTAGGTGGAAGAATATCCACCAACCCAATATCGTCCTGTGGGTCTCGTAAGAGGCGACAGAGGGAAACTGAAACGGGAGATAGATAGCAATGTCTTCCTGATTACAAATCAAAGTAATAAAACACTGCGGTTGCATCTATAGGAATATGGAAGATCTTATGTTCAACAGTAGACTTTTATAGGCTATAATGGATGGATGGGTTAACATGGAAGTATTACACTTTCAAGTTTGACAATTTATGTACATGTATAAATTTAAAGAAATTATAAAATAATGTCCAATACTAGTAAAAAAAACAGTTTTAAAATAGTCCAATTCACGCCAATTTCGTCTTAACACACTTAAGATATGTACATTAATTTTTTTGTAATTAATTAACCTTAAAAATTTATAAATATTATTAAATAACATTTAGTTTTTATACCAAAAGAAAAAATCTATGTAGTAGAAAATATATTTTTAACAGCGAGCAACCCAATTCTAGAAAATTCTACTGATAACTCCTCCCTATTGGTTGGTCGCGTAATGGAATACTCAAGAAAGTTCCGGGCTGCTATTGGCCGAGAGTATAAATACGGAACGAGCGCGGCGAAGCGCCAGTTTTAAAGTGGTCAATAGTGAAGTGCAGTGCAGTGCGGAAAATAAACAATAGCAATGGTCGCGATTGGTATCGATTTAGGTACAACGAGTTCGTGTGTGGCTGTGTGGAGAAAGGGTACTGTGAAAGTGATAACAAATGAACAAGGTAACAGAACAACGCCATCGTACGTTGCTTTTACGAATAATGAACGTCTTATTGGTGAACCGGCGAAGAATCAAGCAATGGCGAATGCGGCTAATACAATTTTTGGCGCGAAACGCTTAATCGGACGACGTTATGACGACGTAACCGTGCAAATGAATTTACGCCATTGGCCTTTTCAAGTTGCCAACGACAACGGTAAGCCAAAAGTTAAAGTCTGTTATAAAAACCAAAGCAGAGCGTTCGCGCCTGAGGAAATAAGTGCTATGATACTTTTCAGGATGAAGGAGGCGGCCGAGGCGTATTTAGGAGAAAAGGTGAACGATGTTGTAATTACGGTTCCCGCGTATTTTAATGATGGTCAGAGGCAAGCAACTAAGGCAGCGGGGGCCATTGCGGGTTTTAACGTTTTAAGGATTGTTAACGAACCGACTGCGGCAGCGCTCGCTTACTGGTTAAACAGGAATTTCAAAGGCAAGCGAAATGTTGTAATCTACGATTTGGGTGGAGGCACTTTTGACGTTTCAGTTATGACGATCTCCGAAGGACCGGTGTACGAAGTGAAATCGACGGCTGGAAACACGCGCTTGGGGGGCGATGATTTTGACAACCGCCTTGCGGCGTACTTCGCCGAGGACTTTCGCAAGCGCTACGGAAAGGAGATATTGGGGAACGCTAAGGCGTTTCGCAGACTCAAAACTGCCGCCGAGAGAGTGAAACGGTATCTATCTTCCGCTATCGAAGCTACTGTGCATATAGAATCGTTAAACGACGACATTGATTATTACGGGAAAGTTACAAGGTCGTTATTCGAAGATCTCTGCTCCGATTTATTTACAGATACTTTGAGACCGTTGGAACAAGCTTTGAGGGACGCCCGGATGAAGAAAGATAATATAAACGATGTTATCCTAATTGGCGGTAGCACAAGAATACCGAAAATACGCAGCTTGGTTCAAGAATTTTTCAAAGGACATACCTTATCGTCAACGATTAACCCCGAGGAAACGGTAGCGTGTGGTGCTGCAATAAAAGCGGCCATTTTGTCCGGTGACCGGCATGAGAAGATCCAGGATTTGCTGCTAGTCGACGTGGTGCCATTGTCTTTAGGAGTGGAAACTGCGAGAGGGATGATGTATAAGATCATTGACCGGAACACTCCTATCCCTTGTCGAAAAACCAAAGATTTAACTACTTTGGAAGATTACCAAAGAAGTATGACGATTGAAATCTTTGAAGGCGAAAGATCGTTGACTAAAGACAACAATCTGTTAGGCGTATTTGAATTAAACGATATACCACCGGCGCCAAGAGGAGTCGCTAAAGTGGATATCACATTCGATGTTGATGCTAATGGGATTCTGTCGGTATTTGCGCAAGAACGAAGCACTGGAATCAACAATTGTCTGGTGGTGACAAAAGACCATCGGCTCAAGCAAAAGGAAATCAAAAAGATGATAGCAGACGCTGAGACATTCAAGGAGGAGGATACTGAGAATAAACGACGTTTAGAAGTCCGCAACCAGTTGGAAGGCTACGTGTACAGCGTGAAGCAGTCTGTGGCGGACAACATCGAGAAGTTGTCGGCAAACGAAGTCTCTAAGTTTACTAAAGAATGTGACGAAGCCATAGAATGGATAGAAAAGAACCCGGATTGCTTGAGAGAGGAATATGAGAAGAAGATGTCAGAGCTACTCATACGTTGGACTTGCATGATGAGTAAATTTTGCGATTTTCTGAGACATAGGGCGAAAAGACAAAAAAGCGAAAGTAAAAGTGAATTTGAAGTACATAGTCCAACGACTATCGAAGAAATGGATAACGGGGAGTGATGGAAACCCAAAACTTGTGAGATATGAGCAAAGTTTGAATTTTATTCGGTGATACAGAAGTTTCTAGTATTTACGTATAGATGTCTCCGGTAAGTCAGTATTATTATTTCATATGTTCCGTCTTTTCAAGAAAATATTCGCACTTAAGTGTTTGTAAGTATCGTCTTAACATCGCCCTGACAACGCAGTCTGAAACAAATTCAACAATAATAATTATATAAAATACAGCTGCCTGGTTTTATATTTACCTTTCAGACTAGCAGCACATACCAGTCGTCTATAAACTTAAAAAAAATAGAAATAGTTTATGGGCTGTCAAAAATAAACGGAAATGGCCGCTTTTATGACTAAAAGAAACACTAAGCTGGCATGTGCCATATTATTTAAGTGCCCTGTTATAACAACTAAATATTATTTTCAATTTTTGAGATCTAATGACCAATGTAATTTTACAAAACTAGGCGTTCAGACTGCATTGTATATTATTTTTCATTTTTATTAAACGCACCGCCGTAAGTAATTGAAATTCAGATACTTACAAATAACAGTTCGGTTTAGTTTTCAGCACGATATTTTTAAAAGAACCGTCTGGAGAAGCATGAAGAAACTGAAGAAGAAGAAATGGAATATCTTGTATTCCAACTGATTACTACTGGCCAAAGATATACTCAAAGACAAAGATAAGGCATTATTGAATCAATTAGTTCAGTGAATTTCCAATTTTTTTTAATTTATTTTATTACATTAGTTTATTTACATAACATAATATACAATATTTTATTATGTACTATATTGAAAACTGTAATTAGAAAATTATTAGAATGCGATTTTAAGTCGTCATAGGATGAGTAGTTTATACGTTGTTTTAGATTAAAATAAAAAAAAAATAAGGAGAATCGACACGGGTAGTAGGTACTGGTAGTGATTATATGCTTTTAGCGAAGAAGAAGTCTCTAGGCGTACGATGAAAGCAGAAGAATAATACAGAATATTTTTGGCTTTTTCAGATTTTTTTATCTGTGATCAGTGCTGTGTTTAATGCTAGCATGTTTTTGCATTTGTTATTAAATTTTATATTTTATAAAGTAAAATTTATATTATATCTTTAGATTTAAGTATAGAGAAATTAGACTTGTATTGAATTAAATAAATGTATTTTCTGGTGTGTTGTTTTATTTATCCACCATAAAGATGTGAACAAATAAATAATTTGTATTTTTCTTTGTTTTAATTTCCTTTCCAAACTACTCTCTGCTTTTAATTTTTTTTTAATTTCTAGTCTTGTTTATTTACAATGCTACAAAAACTTCTAGCATAGTATAACTTCATGTTTTATATTATGTATAATAACACTCATTGCGACCGCCCACGAACTCAAGTTGTAAACAAGTTTTTGGAATGTCTCCTGTTAAAAAAAACATTATGCGTTTGTCTCAAGGTTTAAATTTGCTTAAAATGGTTAAACTGCAGTGTTATTATTATCAGTTTTCATTTGGCCGAATGGGCCTACGAAGTACCATGTCGTGCTCTTGTGGTGTGGTGTAAGGATAATTTTTCGCTTGAAGCAGTTCGAACGAATAAAAAAGTTAAAAAATGGAGTCTGTGGTTCGTCCGCCGGCCGGCCGGCACAGCGCTGGCGCAATTAGCTGTTTTTTTTTTTTTCTTTTTAAAAACAAATGTTTTGCTATCGTTACTAATCAGACGTCCTGTCATAAGTTTTGTCGTCATCAATCTCTGTCTCAGGAATATATTTGCGGTTTTGATTTAATTCTAAAAAATAATAAAAATCATTGTCTTCATTTGGAAACAATAAGGTTAATAATATTATTGTATGTTACATACAATAATATTATTAACCTTATTGTTTGCAAATGAAGATTCCTAATTCTTTGATATTTAAAAACGTTATTATTCAGTGAAAATGTAATTTAATAAAAACCAAGGTTTTTCAATGTGATTTAGCTGTACCTCCTTATTTAAATGAAAAAAAAATAAAACAAAAAATTATAAAAAAGGTTTGTAACATCTGCATAAAAATGTCGATTTCAAGGAAAACATGTGGAAATACATGTAGTTAGCCACTTAAAACAAGTATCCTACCATTTGCAACTTATGTTTAATGTCAACTAAACTTAATCAGGTCTAAACAAGTAAAAAAAAAGCTTAAAAAGGTCATTTTTTACACATAACTGATGGCATAAAAGGCATGTCATCAACTTCTATGGCGCTCGACACGACAGGCGTGTAATAAAAAGAGAATCATCAAAATTGTTTCATAATCAGCGAAGATATCGGATAACATACATACAATAAAAACATATTACACTCGAGTTCAGTACCTCCTCCTTTTTAAAGTCGGTTAAAAATGATAAAAAGCGATCTAATTGTGAACCTTCTTATTCGCACGTGCGTAATATCACAGAATAAATAATAGTAAGAGTTATTACTGCCGGACTTATATTGTTCGACTATTAAGCGAATATACAGCGGGGTACCTAAGGGCAGTATAATAATGAAAATCGATTAGACAGAGGCGAGTCAACTTGGATGGCAGCTGACAAGGTGCCTTTCCAGTGAATCTGAATAGAATCTCTTTCTATTTATTCGGCAAAAACATCACCCGCGCGGCATTTGACTCGCCAGCTCTCTACAATGCCCGTACTGTACCAGAGGATAGTTTATTTTAAAGTATTTATCTACTTAAAATAAGACACAGTTCGTAAGTACAGGAAAATATTATAAAAGGAAAACTTCGCCTGGATCGTATCCATTAAGTATATAATTTAAGATAAAAAAAATGTTTAAATTTTTCGAATAAAACATAGTTTAGATTCCTCCTAGCCTTGCTCTATCTGTTCGTAAAGTTTAATCACAATCGTTACAGCAATTCCGGGAAAGCCCGGACAGAGATTTTTTTTAAATTATCCACAATTAATAGTTAACACACAAAAAATGTTACCTGCCTTTAGAAAGAAATGCCTTTAGAATAAGCAATTAAAAGGTTTGCGGTACTTGTCATTCCACACAAAATTAAGGAGCATTATACTACTATGCTACTCTGGTGTTCTGGGAGAACATGATTTCCCCGAGTCAGGCCTACCCATTGGTAGCGCAACCGTAATACGTAGAAGCATAACTATCAACTATAAAATTTGGCTCAACGAATACATTGATATCATTTACTCTAAAATTATTTCAGGACCAAATAATATTTAATGTTATGTAAATCAATCTAAAACATTTATTTATAATACTGATTATAAAACAGTCTTGTTTTACTTTTTTTTAAGAACTTCGGCGTCGTGGAGTTGTTCGAGGGCGGGCAACATCGGCAGCATACGGCAATGATGGTGATGGCGATGCTGGGCTTCTACTTTGAGCCATCTCGTCACGACAGGGACAGATACGTGAGAGTCCACCCGCGTCACATACGACCAGGTCAGTTGGCCCTCCGAGCAGGATAAACTTTTTTACTTGTTCTCTACTGGAAATTGTATACTTATGATGGCGATGCTGGGCTTCTACTTTGAGTCATCTCGTCACGATAGGGACAGATACGTGAGAGTCCACCCGCGTCAAATACGACCAGGTCAGTTGGTCCTCCGAGCAGGATAAACTTTTTTACCTATTCTCTACGGGAAATTGTATACTTATGATGGCGATGCTGGGCTTCTACTTTGAGTCATCTCGTCACGACAGGGATAGATACGTGAGAGTCCACCCGCGTCACATACGACCAGGTCAGTTGGTCCTCCGAGCAGGATAAACTTTTTTACTTATTCTCTACGGGAAATTGTATACTTATGATGGCGATGCTTGGCTTCTAGTTTGAGTCATCTCGTCACGATAGGGACAGATACGTGAGAGTCCACCCGCGTCAAATACGACCAGGTCAGTTGGTCCTCCGAGCAGGATAAACTTATTTACCTATTCTCTACGGGAAATTGTATACTTATGATGGCGATGCTGGGCTTCTACTTTGAGTCATCTCGTCACGACAGGGACAGATACATGAGAGTCCACCCGCGTCACATACGACCAGGTCAGTTGGTCCTCCGAGCAGGATAAACTTTTTTAGCTATTCTCTACGGGAAATTGTATTCTTATTACAGCTCTCCTTTTCTCATTACTTCTATAAGAGATTATTTACAAGCGCGGGGTCCAATATTGTCATATCATCTTATACTTCACCAAGCCCGTAAATGTCCATTGCTCGAATTCTCCCGTTTTGTGGAGGATTTGCCATAATCACGCTTGGAAGGTGGATTGGTGGACAAACTTACAATGCATCTAATGGTAACTGGCTACAGCCTATGGACACCCCCAACCAATTTCAAACAAAAAGGGCTACAGATGCGTTGTCTTCGGAGTGGAATGGCTCACAGTATGTAATACTGACTCTCTATATCCTTCTGCACGGCTAGCATGGGCTGGGGACTAAAAATTTATCCCCCGATAATATCCACTGACAAGAGATAAAATTATCTTGTCCCTATGCCAAAGCATAGCAACGGAGAGAAGTATATCCCCGTTTGACACGACGAGTAGACATAATATATTCCCCGTCCATAGCATGAAGCCAAATGAAAGATAAAAAATTATGCTTTTTTTGACATTTGAAAGGGACACATTTATCCTAGTTCATTGGACGTGGGTTTAAGTTTATATTCATACAAAAAGTCTATCTAAGTCTAAGTCTATCTCCCATTTTATCTACTGTGGATATTATATCCACCAGTGTGCCCATGCTCGAAGGGGGGGGGATAAAACTAAGCGAGGGGATAAACATTTTCTCCTTTCCCTGGGGATAAAATTGTCTCCTGTCCATGCTAGCCCTGCAGATCCAAACATAACATCACAATTCATCAAAATTCACGCACGGCTCCTCGGTATCAGAAAAGATTGGTAAGAGATTGATGGTAGAAATAGGTATGAAACCTAATGGTTTCCGAGGCAGAAAAAGAGTCCTACCACCAGCAGGGCTAGCATGGGCAGGAGACAATTTTATCCCCGAGGAAAGGAGAAAATGTTTATCCCCTCGCTTAGTTTTATCCACCCTTCGAGCATGGGCACACACCGGTGGATAATAATATCCGCAGTGATAAAATAGGAAATAGACTTAGATAGATTTTTGTATGAATATAAACTTAAACCGACGTCCAATGAACTAGGAAATGTCAAAATTCAAAAAAGCATTCAATTCAAATGTCAAAAAAGCATAATTTGTTAACATTCATTTGGCTCCATGCTACGGACGGGGGATATATGTCTACTCGTTATGTCAAACGGAGATATACTTCCCCCCGTTTTTGTTTTTCTCCCCGTTGCCGTACTTTGGCATAAGCACTAGATAATTTTATCCCCTGTCAGTGGATCTAATCGGGGGATAAATTTTTTGTCCCCAGCCCATGCTAGCCGTGCAGGGGAGATTAAATGTCGACAGCGCTTTAGGCTATTACCCTATTACCGCATCGGCGCCTGGTGGCCATACATTATAAATTATAAGTTGTTATATTAACTTTATTATAAACTAGCGAGCCACCCCGGCTTTGCACGGGTGATTTTTTTTTATAGAATAAGGGTGACAAACGAGCACACAGTCCACCTGATGGTAAGTGGTTGCTGCGGTCCATAGACATCTACATCTATCCTCGATTACGAATCAAAATGCAGATGCGTTGTCACCCGTGAGGACTAAAATAGAATGCCTCGTTTCCAGTAAAAAAGGGTCTCTGGTTCTCTACACTCACCATACGAAACACAGCAGCGTTATGCTACTGTTTTACGCTGGTATTCTGTGAGAGCGTGGTCCTTCCCCGGTCGTACCAAAGACCTATTAAAAAAAACATCTTAGGGTCGTATCGACCCATTCGTGCTACAACTATACTATTAATATAGCAGCAGCATGGCTCTACTACGTACAAAAAATGATTTCTGAATCTCGACAACAGTGCCATCTACCGAGTCCAATTGAGTTTTTAAACCATCCCGGGTTGGGTCAAACACAAAAAAAGAATCATCAAAATTGGTCGAGCTATTTCCGAGTTTTAGCTAGACTAACGGACAGGAATTATATTGCAAAATTATTGGGTAGGGCAGGACACGTGTACCGTTAGCAGGCCTGTGTCATTCTTGCTACCTGCGTGAAATAATAACCTACAATTGCTAGGCGCCCCCGGGGGAGCATTTTTTACATTACATGGCATTTTTTAAGTTACCGAAAGATAATAAAAGGTAAATTTATTTCATTTTTTGTTAGATAGGTACTTATAGCGTAAAAAGAATTAAGTAATAATTTAAATACAGAAGTGTACTTATTACCTAAGTACTTTATTACAAAACTTTCTTGAAAATTTACTTCACTACTCAAGTACCTACTTACATAACTATACTTGTCTTTTATAAATAAAATATTTTAAGTTATAATAACACAAAATACTGAAATTAAAACATTGTTTACAAGATTTTAACTAAGTAGAATACGATCACATTTCTGTTAGGAATCGTATTTCGGGTTTATTTGTTGTTTACACTATCTACCTATTTCTTACGAGCCAAGAATCGCGATTCCCGACGAATAGCCTCCCAAGTTGCATGCTTTGGGTATCATAGAACTCACATAGTAGCGGAAATATGGTCGATCATAGCCAGAATAGGTACTTTACCTAAGTAACTTACTTGCATTAACACGCATTTTGAATTTAAAAGATAAAAAGGACAGAATGTTTGTGATATTTTTTTAATTAATTTTTCTTCACCATTTAGCTATATTACTTATTCTGCACCTTGTCTGCAAATTTGGCCGGTTTTTGCAAAATAATCCTGCATATTAAGTATGATTTATTTATTTGATGTAAGTAGGTGAGGCGAGTGTGCCCCTCTTTACGACCTCATGCCCCTGGGCACGTGCCTAGTTTGCCTTAAGGATAATCCGCCACTGCCTACTACCTATTTTACAGTACCGGACCAGGTCTATGTTCAACAATGAGCTTTTGACAGGCCGTACTGACTGAATGAGTGTTAAATGTCTTTAAGAAAATTAGTGACTGCTTCCATTTAAAACAATTTCCCAACAGACAAACTGCACCACTTCGAGAAACTGCGCCCCGACGCGACTTTACCACTGCCATACGACTACCGGAGCGCGACGCATCCCGCCTGGCAGTTCTGGAGGCAGCTTGGTAGGACTGGAATTTCGGCTATAGCCACATATAAGGATCAGGTATCTTCACATGTTACACCTCTATTATCCAGTTTTCTTCTTCGCACGACTTCTTTGTGAAATTCGCATGGGCGGGCACTTACCATCAGGTGAGCCGCATCGCAGCGAGTCGCTTGCCCCCTCTTCTATAAACAAATCTAATCTATACGTATAAATAAAATTGAGGTGTCTGCCTGTAATATTGAAATAATTATGGCTTCTATCAAGTTCAACAGTTATTTGCATGCCATTATTCACGTGGTAGAGCCATGCTGCAGCTATATTAATAGTATAGTTGTAGCACGAATAGGTCGGCTCGACCGGGGAAGGACCACGCTCTCACAGAATACCAGCGTAAAATAGCAGCTTAATGCTGCTGTGTTTCGTATGGTGAGTGTAGAGAACCGGAGACCCTTTTTACTGGAAAAGAGGCTTTCTATCTTAGTCCTCACGGCTGACAACGCATCTGCATTTTTTTTATAGAAGAGGGGGCAAACGAGCATGCGGCTCACCTGATGGTAAGTGACTACCGCCGCCCATGAACAACCGCAACACCAGGTGAATTGCAGATGCGTTGCCGGCCTTTTAGAAAGGTGTAAGCTCTTTTCTTGAAGGTTCCTAAGTCGTATCGGTCCGGAAAATTCGCTGGTGGTAATTGATTCCACAAGGAAGTTGTGCGAGGGAGAAAACTTCTTCTAAATCGCACAGTGGTGGACCGCCAATCATCCAGATGGTATGGATGGAAACGCGAGTTTTGTCGCGATGTGCGATGGTGAAACTGAGCGGCTGGAATTAGTCCGAACAATTCCTCAGAGCACTCCCCGTGATAGATGCGATAAAATACGCAAAGAGATGCAACATCTCTACGCAGTGCCAGTGTATCGAGCCGATCAGAAAGAACTCGGTCGTCGACGATTCGAATCGCTCTGCGCTGGATGCGGTCAAGTGGAAGGAGCTGGCACTGGGGTGCTCCGGCCCAGAGATGAGAACAGTATTCCATGTGGGGCCGAACATGCGCTTTGTAAAGTTGCAAGCGATGTGCCGACATGAAATACCGTCTCGCTCTGCTGAGCACGCCAAGCTTTTTAGAGGCCAATTTGGCCTTCCCTTCCAAGTGACCACGAAACTGCACACTATTCGATATGTCGACGTCAAGGATTCCGATACTAGCTGAGGCAGCAAGGGGAGTGCCTTGAAACTGAGGAGATACGCCAAAGGGGTTCTTTTTAGCGGTAAACGCGCAAACTTGTGTCTTCTGGGGATTGAACTGGACTAAATTTAGTCGGCCCCAATCCGAGACTTTGTTAAGCAAAGACTCAACTTCAGACACAACTTTATTCCGGTACTCAGCGACGTTTTAATTCGCAAACGAAAATAGATGTAGATCTCTATGGGCCACAGCAACCACTTAACATCAGGTGGACTGTGTGCTCGTTTGTCACCCTTATTCTATAAAAAAAATTAAGACATAAATAAACATTTTTAATTTTTTTTTTTATGTCTGCCTGTAGTGTAACTTTACGAATACATAGAGAGCAAGACCAGGGGGGATATATTTTATCGGAACAACGAAACACTGATAAAATTAAAATAGTCTCTGGACTTAAATCGAATTAACGCCACATTGATAGATCCTAACCAGGCGAAGTCAGTGCAGGTCGCTAGTGTATTATAATTGTGTTTGATGATCCCAGTGAATAAAAGAAATCAATAATGATATCTTATATTTACGCGAACTCTACACATTTAAATAAAACTTTTTTAACGGATTTTATCGCGTATATTAAATTAAAAAAATAGCAGTGCTTTTATTCGTATAGTGTAAGTATAGAGAACCAGAGACCCTTTTTACTGGAAACGTGGCGTTCTATGTAAGTTCTCAGAGGTGATAACGCATCTGCATTTTGATTTTTAATCAAGGACTGATGTATATATTTATGGTCTATACCTTTTCTTTACATGGGTAAATGCCTACGCATGCTCATAAAGTATTCACTTACTATCAGGTGAACTGTGTGTTAGTTGTCACCGTTCTTATATTAAAAAAAAAAAATTTAGGCCCTAGTAGAACATACTGACGCGCTTAGGCGCTTACGGCATGCAATATTTCACCAGTATTTTACCACGGTAAGGGCGTTACCACTCTGGCGATTTGCAAGCGAGTTCAAACCGAGGCGAGTGCGCAACGATCTAGCCGCGAGCTTGCAGCAAGTGCGCGGCGTTACCGCCGTGAAAACACCGCGCCATAGAATAAACAATGGACCGCGCGAATAGCACCCTGGATGCCATTTTGTAAGCTCCCGTTTAACAGCCTGCCCCGCCCCACTTCAGTCGTATCAAAGCGACGAGTGTGAGCAGTGTTTCCTCGTCATAAGTGGGGTGGGCTGTTGAACGGGAGCTTACAAAATGGCGTCGACGGAGCTATTCACACGGTTTAATATATTTTATTCTGTGGCGCGGTATCTTCACGGAGGGAAAGCCCTGCACTCGCGGCGAGATCGCTGCGCACTCGCCTCGCTTTGAACTCGCTTGCAAATCGCCAGTGTGATAATGCCCTTACACAAGATTATTATAAATTAAACCAATATGGTTCAGCATCATTTAATAACTTTTGACCATTATAATACTAGAACGGCAATCCGCCGGCTGTAGTTCCCGCCACAACTCTGTTTCCGGTATAAACTTCCTGCCAAAAACCTATATCGTTACTTTTAATTATTCACAGGACCCTGACGGTTCCCTGATGAAATCCTTGGGACATAACTCCGAGCTACTGTCAGATCTCGACATCATAAAGATCAACAGCGTTTACGGTATCGAGTGTTTTCTTTAGAGAATCTTCAAGGAGCAACCCTGATGAGAACCAACTTAGAGAAAAAATTATAATTAACCTGATTTAAGTAATTACAAATGTTTTAATAAAAATAATTGTTTAATTTTCAATCGAGTTCTCTCTCCCACCTCTGTCATTTCCAAGAGTGATAAATGGAGTTAGTCGGCCACACTGGCTCCAGTAAGTGTTAAGACTTCACATGTCCTACCAATTATTTTATTCCTTAGACACAATCTGCATGTCTTCACGATGTTTTCCTTTACCACCGAGCACGTGGCAGGTTTGAACCTGGGTTGCTTGCATACAGTATTTACGACGAGCGTTTAGGCTCTAAGCAACCGCAAAATATGTTGCTGCCGATGTAGAACGGAACAAAAGGATATAAACAAGCTATATATATATATATATATATATATATATATATATATATATATAAATAATATAACAAGCGGTCATAACAATAGTAAAAAAAATTCCTGAAAAGAAAAAAAGCATGTGTACAGTTCACACGCATTAGAATTGAAACCTCCAAATGAAATGAAATATAAAACAAAATGTGTTTAATGTGTAAGTTGAATTTTATACAAGTCGCAGCACTTAATTCTAGCGCTGAACGAAACGTGGAGGGGACGCGCACGAATTGAATTATACGAATACGACTGGAGAGCCAATTAGCGCGTGCGAACAATACGCACGAGCCAATCATCACAACTTATGCACAATAACGGTCACCGCTAGACTTTCGTGCTGCTAACTACTTATAGCAAATAAATGTTACAATCCTTATTTTTAGACAGGTAGAGCCTAAATTTAAGTGTATTAAATCGAAAGAATATTTTCTTTCTACTAAAATTGCTTCGTAATAGCGACTTCTAATTAATTTTATATGTAAAATCATTTTATTGAACAAAAATTTATTGACTCTGAAGGTGCTCCGTGAAATAGACACTATATGGCCCAAACACTACTAATTTAATATAAGTCAAGAATGGTTTTAATATGACATGTTTATTCAATGTAATTAATTTTATTTATTTGATAATAAAGTTGTTATTTTTTTATTATTTATTTTAACAGTTAAAAGTTATATTAAATCATCTTTAAAGCATCGCACACAAAGGAAACCGAGATAATAGGAAACAGTTTATACTGAACTAGCTGTTCCCCGCGGTATCACCTGCGTCCTCTATAGAGGCATTCACTGCTGGTTTCTCTCGGTTCTCATCGGGTGGCCAGGCGTCGTTCGCGCGCCGAGCCGAGTATTTAATTATTTTAATTTTTCATTGTCTCTTAAGTTATGCGTCCAAATAACATACTATAAAAAGCAAAGTATATAGTAATATAAGTATATAGTAAATATAGTAAGTATAATTGTCTTGATGATGAAGTAACTTTCGTTCACAAGGATTAATATGCCATGCCTAATAATAACGGTTATAAATCATTTTTTAATTTTCAATATTTATTTGTCACAAAATACCTTATTTTTTGGCTCATGTATAAGAAATAGGCATAATAGTATCGTGGACTTTTTTTTAGGTGGAATAAAGATCAATATTTTTATAGAAAATAGTATTTACGTATTACTAACCATTACGCCAGCGTACACGGATAAAGCAGACAGGCGTTTTTGCTTCAAATTAAAATCAAGGCCAGCTAAAAGGCGTAGCCTAATGCTAGTCGAGCCTATAGTATTCCTCGTGAATCTGGCTGTCATATACAAAAAGAATTTCTGAAATCAGACTGGTAGTTCCAGAGATTACCGTGTAAACAAACAAAAATCCTCTTCCGCTTCATTATATTATTAGTTTATTATTATAATAGATTCTAGTTTTTTTTTTATAGGATCGAGTGATAAACGAGCACACAGTCTACCTGATGGTAAGTGGTTGCTGTGGCCCATAGACATCTACATTTATCCTCGTTTGCGAATCAAAATGCAGATGCGTTGTCACTCGTGAGGAGTAAGATGGAATGCCTCTTATCCAGTAAAAAGGGTCTCCGGTTCTCTACACTCACCATACGAAACACAGCAGTGTTAAACTGCTATTTTACGCTGATATTCTGTGAGAGTGTGGTCCTTCCCCGGTCGAGCCGACCATTCGTGCTACAACTATACTACTAATATAGCTGCAGCATGGCTCTACCACGTATAAACGTAGTTCATTCTCTCGTAGGCTTATCCTATAGATTTATAATTTTGTCTCTTTTTTGTGTCACTTTTTCGTTTCATTTAATTTCAAATCACAACAATGCTAAAGAAGTTTTGCCTTTAATAATTTTATACTCCGTGTCACTCCCATAATTAAGACGTATGTAACTACATTATAATATATTAAAATCAATCAAGCCGATTAGGCTACAGAGTGTTCCAAAAATAGGCATACATACTCTCGAAAACATTACCTTCCTTCTGGGCCAGCCGGGTAAAGAAAAACAAATGAAAAGGCAAAGTAGGTATATATAACAATTTCGTTTATATTTTAGTCTTAGAAAAAAAGGAACATACACAGATAAAAAAATCATTCGTCGTATTCGTTCTTACTTATTATATCATATACGGTGACGTCACCAGAGTAGTGACGACATTGGAACAGGCACCTTGACGTGTGGATCATCACACTGACCGCTGTAAGGTAATAATTATTCTTAACATTTACGGATTTAAATTATTATGACGATACCTTTATTTTTTTATTAGTAATATTATATAGTAATGGTGACAAACGAGCACACAGTCCACCTGACGGTAAGTGGAAGTTGTAACACATAGGCATCTACATCTATCTGCAATTAATAATCAAAATGCAGATGCGTTGTCACCCTTGAGGACTGTCTCGTTTGCAGTAAAAGGGATCTCCGATTCTCTACACTCACCATACGAAACACAGCAGCATTTCACGTTAGTATTCTGTGACAGCGTGGTAATTCCCAAGTCGAGCCGACTCGTTCGTGCTATAATCGTAATATAGTAGCAGCATGGTAGTGCTTATAAAAATTGTTGTTTCTTAAAACTTTCACAACTTTATATTAAATACAGATATCGCAATATTTTTTTTTTATTGTAAGGGCCAAGTGTCTTATAAATAAAACAAAACTTAATTGAAATCTATCCAGTAGTTTTTCCGTGATGAGCGTACTACTGAAAACCTCTATTATTTTATTTGTATAAATTTACATACGAGCTAATATCGAAATATAAAATTATAATATTAAAATAATTTATGTTTCAATACAACGCGCTAACGTGACTAAAAAAAATTTTTGTCTCCTATTCGCAAAGCGCGTCTTGAAGCCATCTCGGCAGAGAGTATTATTATTCTTTGGTCCCCGTTCCCAACTTCCTATATCACGTAAAGTTGTTTTTTCTTAACACAGCGGGACCCTTAAGCGGGAGCACATAGGAAGGTTACCTATTTTGCTTTTAGGTTAATCCAGTCCTGAACAATAGGTTCTACAACTGATGTACTTAGAAACGGGGACAGTTCGTCTGATTACAAAAAGTGGTCTATTCATAGTTTAGCTTAGAGTAGGGCTGCCACCTTTTTTTAGAAGAAATATGGTATTTTTCGAAAAAAGATGCATAAAATATAGTACTTTTGGAAAATTTAGGAAAAAAGTACACAAAAAAAAAATGAAAAGTAAAAATACATAAAATAATCTTTATGTATTTTTCCATATTTATTATTGTTCTTCGCGTTGCCCGTCAATGATTTACAGTAATTATAGGAAAGTTCTACCTTTAAAATAATTATTAGGAATGTGAGCAAAATGGATTTATATAAAAATGAGTTAATAATTAATTTTTAATTAAAATAATACATGCTCTATTTCTTTCTTTTTTCTATTCAGATTCATGACGGAAAAAATTATTTCCGTAAAACTTACATGTTTTTTACATCCAGTCACATGCGCGACAGTTGAGGCGGATTAAAGATAAAAAATATAGTATTTTTCGTACTATATTATTTTTCTATAATATATAGTACAATTGTACGATACTATATATTATAGTACGGGTGGCAACCCTAGTTTAGACCTCCCGAGACCCATATACATTTAGTTTAGATTTTTTTTCCGCACTTCTGCTGTCGAATTCAATACATACTTTAAATTTTAGAACTGTATAAGCGTTTATACAGCCAGAAAATACAGCCTCTAGTATAAAAACGACCTTCAATACAGCTCGTATACAGATTGCATGTTGCTTGGGTTTGTTTAAATGTATCAAATATGTAATTTTTTTTTAGTGGCCGTCTGTATTCCAAATAAAAAATTGAGTTTGGGCGTCTAACCCTAGTGTGACCGTTGTCATAAACGCTAGCATATTATGATCATTGCAGTATAATGTACTTACGTACTATATATTGGATTGGATTGCACCACAGCAAGAACCCAGAGGTGTCGGATCTCATACCTTCCGCGATTTCTTTTTGACAAAAGTTGAATACAAAATATGAAAAAAAACGAGATATTTTTTACGTGGTAGGGCAATGCTGCAGCTATATTGGTGGTATAGTTATAGCACGAATGGGTCGGCTCGAGCGGGGAAGGACCACGCTCTCACAGAATACCAGCGTAAAATAGCAGCTTAACACTGCTGTTTCGTATGGTGAATGAAGAGAACCGGAGACCCTTTTTACTAAGCCAGTCCATCTTAGTCCTCAAGGGTGACAACGCATCTGCATTTAGATTCGTAACTAGGATAGATGTAGATGTCTATGGGCTACAGCAAACACTTACCATCGCGTGGACTGTGTGCTCGTTTGTCACACTTATCCTATATAAAAAAAAAACACGTTCCTTTTTAGTCTTTAGGGATAAGAACGCATCTGAATTTTGATTCTTAATCAAAATTCAGATGCGTTCGACAATAGATAGATAGAGTAGCCACTTAACATCAAGTGGAATATGCGACCGTTTGTCACCTTTAATTCAATAAAAAATATCATAAAGAACCGTAATCTACTTAAATGGTTTTACTATTAAATCTTTAAGAAATAAACTATCTATGAATCACGTAAATATAGTATATGCCCGGAGTCTGCAAGTTGACGGTGTTGCATCCACGTGCCTCTGAAAACACATAGTCCTTGGTCATGTGCCCGATCTCTCTCCGGTCGTGTCGGATTGTCGTTCTATCTGTCTATGAGAAGTGAGGGAATAGAGAGTGCACCTGTGCTTGCTCATACACTCGTGCACTATAATCCTGTCCTGCACGGATGGCCAGTCTCCGTTCAAACTACAAACTAGACGCCGTAACCGGAATTCGTTCTGGAGAGTCGTTATTATTAATATTATTATTATTTATGAAGCTGTATTATGTAAAAGTACATATAAATAGCAAGTGGCAACAAAAAGCAGTAACTTACCTGGTCGTTCAATAGCAAATGGTGTGGTCCTTTCGATTATATGCTCATGTTTCCAATGGAAAAACATCTTTTTTATTATTGTTATGACTAAAGCTATCATGAAAATACTGATTCCAAATAATATAGTGTATAGTGCCATTTATACAAATTAAGTATTGTATATAAAAACATTTTGTTTACTCGTAAAAATGAAATAATAAAAAGTAAGCATCAAATAGTAATTGTAATGACATACCTACGTGTAATATGACATTAAAAAAATAAAAATAAGACTGTAGTTTTTTTTTTATAGGAGTTTATGGCCTGGTATCTGTAGTTTTTTTTAATTTATTTGAAAACAGATTAAAAAGTTTAATGGATTGCCTATAGCTTAGAGCTTTGATTATATACATGTCATGACACATGTATATAATCAAAGGCTTAGAGTAAGTATAACTATAGATAGATAAATTATTGCAAAAGAAAAAAAATAAAGAAAATTTTCTGAAGAAGTAAATTGTCAATTAATAAATTCGACGTTCAACTAGGAATTCTTAATTACAAATTACGAGTAAATAATGTACAGTCGCATTTTTTTATAGGATAAGGGTGACAAACGAGCACACAGTCCAACGGATGGTAAGTGGTTGCTGCGGCTCATAGACATCTACATCTATCCTAGATTACGAATCTAAATGCAGATGTGTTGTCAGTTGTCACACGTGAGGACTAAGATGGAATGCCCCTTTAACATTAAAAAGGGTTTGCGGTTCTCTACACTCAACATACGAAACACAGCAGCGTTAAGCTGCTATTTTACGCTGGTATTCTGTGAGGGCGTCGTCCTTCCCCGGTCGAGTAGACCCATTCGTGCTACAACTATACTACTAATATAACCGCAACATGGCTCTACCACGTAAGAAAATTTATGTATTTGTATTTTTTTAAATATTTTTGCGTAACTAAAAAATGTTGCAATGATTATTAAACAACTTAAAGAAATAGCTGCACAATGATCGTCAAGTACAGTGTTACGCAATATGATTAGATAAACAGTAAATATAAAAAGTTGTATGCTTAGGGTCCGTTCACACAGGCCGGCACGGAAAGGAGCGCAAATATTTTATATTTTGATCGCGATTAAAATAGAGCTTTAGAGTATTGAAATAATTTACCAGATGGAAGTTAGCGTAGAACATTCTTTTTTTTAACTAAACTGTGTGGCAATTAATTGCTCCATAAATGCTCCAGCAGAATCCGAAATTGCTCCACCTCTATTGTTATTAGTTATTTTATAATTAATTTTTAAAAAAATTAAGTATCAAAAATTTAATTTTGCTATAAAGTATAAAATATCTACTTTTTTAGATTAAACTGTATGCCAATTAATTGCTCCTCAAATGCTCCAGCAGAATCCGAATTTGCTCCACCTCTATTGCTATTAGTTAATTTATAAATAATTTTTAAAAAATTTAAGTATCGAAAATTTAATTTTGCTATAAAACAGAAAATATATAGTTTTTAAAAATAAACTGTATGCCAATTATTTGCTCTTTAAATGCTCCAGCTGAATCCGAAATTGCTATACCTCTATTGCTATTAGTTAATTTATAATTAATTTAAAAAAAAATAACCAGAAGGAAGTTAGCGTAGAAGATTATTTTTTTTAATTAAATTGTATACCAATTAATTGCTCCTTAAATGCTCCAGCAGAATCCAAAATTGCTCCACCTCTATTGTTATTAGTTAATTTATAATTAATTTTTAAAAAAATAACCAGAAGGAAGTTAGCGTAGAACATTATTTTTTTAAATTAAATTGTATACCAATTAATTGCTCCTTAAATGCTCCAGCTGAATCCGAAATTGCTCCATCTCTGTTGGTATTAGTTATTTTATAATTAATTTAAAAAAAATTAAGTATCAAAAATTTAATTTTGCTATAAAGTATAAAATATCTACTTTTTTAAATTAAACTGTATGCCAATTAATTGCTCCTTAAATGCTCCAGCAGAATCCGAAATTGCTCCACCTCTATTGTAATTAGTTAATTTATAATTAATTTAAAAAAAATTAAGTATCGACAATTCAATTTTGCTATAAAACATAAAATATCTACAGTTTTAAAATTAAACTGTATGCCAATTATTTGCTTCTTAAATGCTCCAGCAGAATCCGAATTTGCTCCACCTCCATTGCTATTAGTTAATTTATAAATAATTTTGAGAAAGAGTGATCCCATTTGAGTAATAGCGCCATCATCAATAGAATGTAGTAACATTCTATAGTATAAGTCATTTTATCGAATAAAAATTGATTGACTCTCAAAAGTGGTACGTATAATAGATGCTAAATGGCATAAACCCAAAAAATAATATTGATGGGTGAGTTTTGAAATTATGGATTCTTAGGAATGGATTAGACAACCATCTTAATAATTTTTTTGTGTTAGTGCCATCTAGCGTCTTTTCTACGTACCACCAAGAGAGTTAATCAATTTTGATTTGATAAAATGACTACTTATAGAAAAAAAGAAATAGATGGTGCTATTAAAAAAATACGTATATAATAAATAGTAATTACCTAATTAACAAACAAAACAGATATGTCTCTTCTTAAGATCGAAGAAGATGATGCACTGTGACACATCGGTATATAATTTTATGTAAATAATGTAGGCCATACAAATAATTGTTCCGGGTCTGGATGTTTATCCTTGTGAAATTTATGTTTGTAAACTGCCTCCACGACACAGGAGAAAATCGTAGAGTGGGGGGTAAGGTTTTTTTACAATTGAAATTGAAAGATTGAACCCTTATACTTCTTGTTGATTTTTGTATTACCTTTATTAAAGTTACCCTTATGAATAAATAAATATAATTACGTATGTAGAAATAAAATTGATTTTCATCCTCATCAATCATTGGGGCGAGGATAATGTCTGCCAGCATAAGTAATAAGCAGGCTAAGTTACAAGGTGCTCAGTTCAAAAATTTGTAGGTAGGTATGTTACTTTTCAATACGTGACACGTAAAAATTAATAATAACCAAAAACACATCTACGAAAGATTCTTTCTTGCACCAAATATTTGTACAAAATGCGAGATATCTATTTATTTACCTATAGTGAATAGGTATCTTTTAAACTCACAATTTTCAATGCTTCATTTTTAATATAAAATTAATTATAAAATTTCATAATTAGATAATATATGAAAATACATAATTCTAATATAATGCAACAAATATACCGAATAAAAAAATTAAAATACATTTATCGTTGTACGCTGTGTGTATTTCCATAAATTAGTTTAATGATGTTGAAAAAATAATACTACGTTCTTACCTACAATAGGGCAATATATTGAAACGAGCGGCGCGCCGCCGGCAAAATGCTCAAGGTCGTTCGCATGGAGTAGCCCCTTAAGAAATAGTCTCGTACACTTACTTAGCTGTCATGTTGCCTATTCGTTTATTCGAATTTCCATCTTAGCTTTATATTTATATATTTTTATTAATTTTCTCAGTGTTAAATTTAAAAAAAAAAGTATAAATTATATTAATACTTATATATATTATGTAGGTTATTTATATGTATCTATACTTAATATAATAAAGCGGAAGAGTTTTTTTGTTTTTTTGGTTGTTCAAACGCGCTAATCTCTGGAACTACCAGTCCGATTTGATAAAATTATTTTTGTATATTATAGTCAGATTCATGTGTAATAGTATCTAACATTAAGCTATATCACTCAGCTAGCCTAAAATATGGATATTTGTTAAGCAAGTCAGAAGAAAACGCACTCTCGAAATGATTTATCCGCGTACGCTGGTGTTATCGTTAGGCATACGTAAATAAAATGTTCTAGAAAAATATAGATCTTTACTCCGTCTAAAAAAAGTCCGGGATACCATATGTCTATTTCTTATACATAAGCCATAATTAGGTGTTTTATGACAAAAAATATTGAAAATTAATAAAGTGATTTATGATCGTTATTATTAGGCATGGCCTATTTATCCTTACGAACGAAATTTACTTCATCATCAAGACAATTTTATGAAGATAAGCCTTGTTCTTTATACCATGCTATTTGGACTCATAGTTTAAGAGATAATGTAAAATTAAATTAATTCAATACTTGGCTGGGCGCGCGAACGGCACATAAACCTTAGCCGCCCGGTGAGAACTGCGAGAACTGCTCAAACGGGAGGGGGAGGGAAAGTGGATAAAACTTAACTTCGCTCTACATCATACATAATATGCCGTCAGATAAAAGTGCTCCATTAATTATGCCAAAATTTTCATCCATTGCTATTAAATAAAATATTTAATTGCAATTATAAAATGCATGAACTAGGTCATGTCGCGCACCTCCAACATGTGATGACGCGGATGAAACCGCGGGGCACAGCTAGTTACTTATATAAATATATTACAAAAGCGTTACAAAAAACAGTGTGTATCGTGAAGACACACGACAGAAGTGAAACTTTTGTATTACAGGGAAACTTTCAATTATTCATCAATGACTTTTGAATAACATAGATGGTGTGTATCATTCATTTAATTACATAAAATTATATACAGATGTGTCACAGTGCATCATCTTCTTCGAACTTAAGAAGAGACATATCTGTTTTGTTTGTTAATTAGGTAATTACTATTTATTATATACGTATTTTTTTAATAGCACCATCTATTTCTTTTTTTCTATAAGTAGTCATTTTATCAAATCAAAATTGGTTAACTCTCATGGTGGTACGTAGAAAAGACGCTAGATGGCACTAACACAAAAAATTATTAAGATGGTTGTCTAATCCATTCCTAAGAATCCATAATTTCAAAACTCACCCATGAATATTATTTTTTGGGTTTATGCCATTTAGCATCTATTATACGTACCACTTTTGAGAGTCAATCAATTTTTATTCGATAAAATGACTTTTACTATAGAATGTTACTACATTCTATTGATGATGGCGCTATTACTCAAATGGGATCACTCTTTCTCAAAATTATTTATAAATTAACTAATAGCAATGGAGGTGGAGCAAATTCGGATTCTGCTGGAGCATTTAAGGAGCAATTAATTGGCATACAGTTTAATTTTAAAACGTAGATATTTTATGTTTTATAGCAAAATTGAATTGTCGATAC